TTGGTGGGTTCATAGCGCAATGTGAAAACTATTGTGCCACCACTCCCCGAGTGAAAATAAAGGCACAGTGGACTGTACTGTCGTAGGATTGTGCCATAATCTATCGGCGATGAGACAAATTATCATTCAGAATGCAGCTGAATTGGACATATTTTACAATCACGTTTATATTGTCTTGCTTCGTCCATCTGGATTGTATTCTGTTATTTATTGTATTATCCTAGAGTTAACATTATCATTTCAAATGCATACCATTTACACAAATTATAGGTAAACAATTTGTACATGCTTGATTCCATTTACGTACTCTTATAACAGAAAAAAAGACATTTAAAGATATTAACCGTTTCACAATTACATGCCCAAAACACAGCTGCGACGAGTGTTGAACTATTTAACCACAATGGAGGTTACGTGATAGGAAAGGTTGTAACCTGTGAAGTTAAAATGTGCACGATTCCCTTTATATTTTCAAAATATTGGGCAAAACAATAAAAATCGATATGCTTTCTCTGATTTACCAACATTTATATTCACTAAATAAACCCAAAATACAGAATATATCAAATAAATCGTGTATTTCTCGAACTTGATTTTTATCTGTTATATGTTGAATGTTCAAGCTGCCAATAAAAGTAATAAATTACAGTAGTCACGATACACATTTTAAGTTCACTGTTATACCACGTACAAGCATACTGAATACATACCCAAAAAGATGTGTAGTCTGGTGTTTCGTGTTAACAGTAACAAATATAAGAAAGACAAACACACACAGTTGTGCTCAATGTTGAATATCTTTACATTGGGTAGACTTGAAGAATAGTTTAGTTTTTTCTGATTGCAAGTGCTAACTTGATACACTGGTGGATAATTTGCTTATTTTTCGAAAGCAACACTGGAGATGATTAATCCGATTTACAGCACCCGGTGCCAAATTATATAATGCCTCAAGGTCATGCATGGCGTTTTGAGCCCAAGCATGGAACACTGGTTGCTGTTGTATTGCCCACTCGAGGTGGTGTGTCTTGTCTTGAAACCGTGGCACCATTGGAAGTTTTTTTCCACTCTTGTTGAGTGTTTGTGAGACGGCTCTTAACATGGGCCACAGTCTAGTGCAGACGCAGGCAAAATTTCATTTACTTTGAACGTGTCCTCTTATACTTGGGCATTCATTCGAATGCGTAAATGAATATACACCTTGCGATAGTGTGGCTGCTTCTGCCTAAAGTTTTTAACCCCATCAGTGTGCCCGATCCCATGAGATCTTGGCATCTATACCAATATAAATTATTACAATGTGGGACTAAATTATGGGCAGCAACGGGAACTTGAACTTGTTGAACTTCTTTCTCAACGTTACATCACCAACCGTGCTAATTGGATGTGTGGGTGAACGACAACAAACTAAACACTAAAATAAGTTCTAAAGAAATGAGTGTTCAATTTAGATTTAGAGTGCATAGCTCCGCTTCAGTGGCTACCTAATAGTGCACCAGAATGTATTGTTGTTCCTTATTTCTGTGCTCCAAAGTCACCACCTTCACGAACCCGCACTGGCCAGTGTGGTGAAGTTTGGTCAAATAACTCCCCACAACTTGCACGATGGGGGAGGGAATACCTCATCCAGTCGTGGATTGACAAAAAGGCTGGGCATGATTATACAATTAAAGTCACAGAAAAAGCTCCAACCTCAAAACGGGTCTGCTTATCTGAGTAAATATTGAAGTGAATCATTGTCACAATGGATGTGGGATAGACGCAATAACAATAACCTACTGGTGTAAATATAATATATAGACAATAACCGACTGGTGTAAAAAGCAACGAATGATGTTTGACCCACATGACAAAGCAAATGAGTTTATGCCAAGCAATATTACTTGCCTTACCAGCAAGTACATCAACCATTTAGCTGGTTGGCAAGGCCATGCATAGGTACCGGTGACTCATTGCTCAAAAAGAAGCCAAGCTGTTACGAAGTATTTGATCCCCTGCTGATTTTGTACGTTTGCCCACTGACAAAGAAATGATCAGTCTATAATTTTAATGGTAGGTTTATTTTAACAGTGAGAGACAGAATAACAACAAAAAAACGCATGTCAAAAATGTTATAAATTGATTTGCATTTTTATGAGGGAAATAAGTATTTGACCCCCTCTCAATCAGAAAGATTTCTGGCTCCCAGGTGTCTTTTATACAGGTAACGAGCTGAGATTAGGAGCACACTCTTAAAGGGAGTGCTCCTAATCTCAGCTTGTTACCTGTATAAAAGACACCTATCCACATAAGCAATCAATCAATCAGGTTCCAAACTCTCCACCATGGCCAAGACCAAAGAGCTCTCCAAGGATGTCAGGGACAAGATTGTAGACCTACACAAGGCTGGAATGGGCTACAAGACCATTGCCAAGCAGCTTGGTGAGGAGGTGACAGCAGTTGGTGCGATAATTCGCAAATGGAAGAAACACAAAAGAAGTGTCAATCTCCCTCGGCCTGGGGCTCCATGCAAGATCTCACCTCGTGGAGTTGCAATGATCATGAGAACGGTGAGGAATCAGCCCAGAACTACACGGGAGGATCTTGTCAATCATCTCAAGGCAGCTGGGACCATAGTCACCAAGAAAACAATTGGTAACACACTACGCCGTGAAGGACTGAAATCCTGCAGCGCCCACAAGGTCCCCCTGCTCAAGAAAGCACATATACATGCCCGTCTGAAGTTTGCCAATGAACATCTGAATGATTCAGAGGACAACTGGGTGAAAGTTTTGTGGTCAGATGAGACCAAAATGGAGCTCTTTGGCATCAACTCAACTCGCCGTGTTTGGAGAAGGAGGAATGCTGCCTATGACCTCAAGAACACCATCCCCACCGTCAAACATGGAGGTGGAAACATTATGCTTTGGGGGTGTTTTTCTGCTAAGGGGAAAGGACAACTTCACCGCATCAAAGGGACGATGGACAGGGCCATGTACCGTCAAATCTTGGGTGAGAACCTCCTTCCCTCAGCCAGGGCATTGAAAATGGGTCGTGGATGGGTATTCCAGCATGACAATGACCCAAAACACACGGCCAAGGCAACAAAGGAGTGGCTCAAGAAAAAGCACATTAAGGTCCTGGAGTGGCCTAGCCAATCTCCAGACCTTAATCCCATAGAAAATCTGTGGAGGGAGCTGAAGGTTCAAGTTGCCAAACGTCAGCCTCGAAACCTTAATGACTTGGAGATCTGCAAAGAGGAGTGGGACAAAATCCCTCCTGAGATGTGTGCAAACCTGGTGGCCAACTACAAGAAACGTCTGACCTCTTGTGATTGCCAACAAGGGGTTTGCCACCAAGTACTAAGTCATGTTTTTGCAGAGGGGTCAAATACTTATTTCCCTCATTAAAATGCGTTTTTCTGGATTTTCTTGTTATTCTGTCTCTTTAACACGTAGGCTTTCGCGACCAATATTATTCATAATAAAGGTTTTTGGGTTAGATCGCGTTTATTTATAAATGTGTCGTAACCCTCCACCACCCGACACGGCCAATCAGCAAAAAAAGTGTCACGTTGACACTTTTTTTGCTGATTGGCCGTGTCGGGTGGTGGAGGGTTACGACACATTTATAAATAAACGCGATCTAACCCAAAAACCTTTATTATGAATATTCTGTCTCTCACTGTTAAAATAAACCTACCATTAAAAGTATAGACTGATCATCTCTTTGTCAGTGGGCAAACGTACAAAATCAGCAGGGGATCAAATACTTTTTCTCTCACTGTACTCTTATCTGCTTAGAAATGGCTTATCTCTACCTTGAAACTAATCCGATATATTAAATACAGTTTGTATTCCACCCGAGCACCTGCATAACTTCCCAACATACAAAATATTTACCTTCTCCCTTATGACTCATTGAATGTATTTAACACGTTTAACTATAAAACAAATATTAGTATAAACCTCTTAAATTTTGATTTAAAGCTTTCGTGACTTCAGGGATTCATATTCTTGGTTCTTTCGGTAAAGTCACGTAGAAGGGAGACAATAAAATAATAAAGAACCAAGAATATAAACCTCTTGTTCACTGTTAGTTTTAGACGATTTGGAGTTGCAATTAGATTCAATAATCAACTCCTTTAATCTAGTTTATCCCATCTCATAAACCTGTTTTATTGTTTTAGCCATCTCATTTGTACAATTTTGTTTGCTACATTCGCCTAAATGTAACCTGAGCATATCATTTGCATAAATCGTAACTTATCCATTATGAGTGTGTCCTGAGCATAATAATCATTTTCTGTTGATGAAACAATCGATGCCTCGGTATGTGCCGTTTTTACAGCACTTTGAGCTCAAACTATATTTTGAATGTCCATGAATCCAAAGTGAGCTGCAATATATTGTAAATATATAAGCTATAGGTTATGACCAAACAATGTGCCCGATATCAACCAATCTCAAAAGCTTGGAATGTGCACAAAATAAGAGTCATAGATTGTTCCGAATCTACGCTGCCAGTAGAAGGCAGTGCAGAAAAATCTATTGTTGTGCTCAACCATGCTCCCAACTGTCGTGTTCCCCCAAATATGAAGTATGGACAAATAACCTGAGCGAGCCAGAACCAGAATCTGTATTTACACTGGAGGAATCCGCTGAGCTATAAAGCTCTTTTACACAGATGTCCAGTAGAGGCGGGTCAGAAAGTTACAACTATACAAAAACACGATCGGGGTGCAACGTATAGGAAAGGTAAGCAAATCACAAAAAAAAATATTTTACCAGGTAAAACCCATTGAGCTATTAGCTTCTGTTTCAGAAGCGACCTGGTCACAAATAATATCTCAATAAAGTGGCTTATCACGTGGACATCTATAGCAGCCAAATAATCTACATAATCTAAACGCACGTTTACGTGGAGAGCCCCTAATCCAGCAGCGGACAAACGAAAAGGCCGTGTACAATTAAGAGCGTACGCGGTCTCATCAACACGCGGCACAGGGCTCGCACTCTCACCTGGTTGGTGCTGATGCTCGATGCGAGCAAGGAGCCGGCACCGGCATCGAGACGCCAGCGCAGCGCACCGCCACTCTCCGCATCCAGGGCCGTCAGCTGCCCGTCCAGTGTGCTGATGATCACCAACGAGCTGCGAAGCCCCACAGCATACAGGTGAACCGCCGTCGCCATCGCCGTGTCGAGGAGCACAGAACTTTTTGCTGCTTTTATTTACACGTGTTGGTGCCGGGCGAGATTGCAGGCAGCAACAGGGCACTGTGGAAAAGTCCACTCTTGTACTATACTTCTATGTCCCCACATCTATTCTCCACGCCATCCCTAACCTACACTGATAAGCGTAGTTAAGTGTTGAAAAAAAAAACATCACCCGCATGATGTGGGAAAGCCCTCATCCGGCTGTGGATTGACCAAATGGTTAAAATGTCTGTTCGTGTACATGCCTTAACTTCAGCAAACTTCTCACAAGGAGGTTTCGAGTTTTAATGTTTGCATGTAAAGACATGCAGAGGCAAAATGCTTTTGCGTGTCCAACAGCAGTAAAACAATCGTATTGTTACACTAGCCTCGCTGGCGCATTTGGCCCTCTCACTGCCACAGCCGTGCCTATAGTTGTCAATTATTCCCTGGAATAAAATGGATGATGGATGAGTGGCACGCAAGCCCCACTCACTCTCTTCATCTCATTCAAACATGCACTGTTGCACAATCTGTGAAGTCACGCAAGACATCACATATCTAGACACCCCACTGATTTACAAGGACCCTCTTACTTTCTTCTCAATTGGTGATTGAATATTGTGAAGGCAATGGATGGATGGCTCCATATCCTAGAGAGGACGAGCGTTGTAAAATATTAAATAGGTATATTGAGATTGGTGGCAGACAAAGAGGATTTGAAATAAGATGTATCCCTATAATTTTAGTCGAGTATCTTCTACATGCATCGTGCTGTATATTGCTTTGCGACTTGCAGATGGAATTGAGGTTGTAGTTGTACAGTTGTTATTTATTTCTGTTAAAATAATTGCGGGTCACATTTTCTCCGAAAATATATATACTGCATGCTGGAAAGGGGACATTTTTTGCTTGCCTCAAGGCTGCCAACACAGGAACTTTAGGTTCTCGTGTTATAAGCGGAATGACAAACTTATTTCAATAAAATCAGTATTGAGTGTGACTATAGTTTTCCAACATGCACCATTTCAATTTGTAAGCACATTGCATTGCAAAGCAGATTTTTTTTTCATAGAGCTTGTTGGTGTATTGCTTATCCGAGTAACAACTGTTGTTTCTCGACTTTTGAGGCAAATGATAGCCAGATGTATTTGAATAAGTCTACAGCAGTAGGAATATGAGATGTGTGTACATGATAGGTTCACCCATGGAATAGATCACATGACTGTGAGAGATGGCTATAGCATAGAAAAGGTTTTCATCTAACAGTGGATTGATTGTGGCTGATGATATTGTCAGTTATATTGGACAAGGTTAGTCAGACAAAAGTCAAATCCAAATTATTGTAGTCAAGTCATCAGGTGAAAGAAAATGCCTTATTGGAAATACACAATATCAGCAGAATATGACATGAATGAAAGGGCAAGTGGATAACACCACAGGTGCCCCTTCTTTCAATCTCTCTTTACAAACATCTTGTAAGTAAATAAAACAGATGGGATAATTGATCCATAGTTTGGACCCACGAAAGATGCAATTATTCTACATGTAAAAAAAGGAAAGCCAATTTATGGCAACTACAAAATTGTACAGCGAAACATTCAATCGGCAGTAATGCCGTGTTATTTTTTGACCATTTGAATTTCTGTATAAGAAGCAGACACATTTTAGACACCTGATCTTCAGCAAACATCTCTTTAGATTGAATTTAGTTTTGTTATCAAAGCTGCTCAGAATGTAAAATCTTGACTTAAAGCTTTCGTGACTGCAGGAATTCATATTCTTTGGGTCTTTCGGTAAAGTCACGTAGATAGGTTCAAACTAATAAAAAAAACTACGACGTTTCGATCACAACACAAGCAATCGTCATCAGGAGGAAAAAAGACCGATCGCTTGTGTTGTGATCGAAACGTCGTAGTTTTTGTTTATTTTATTTTATTAGTTTGAACCTATCTACATGATTTTACCGAGAGCCAAAGAATATGCTCAGCATGTAGTTCATCTGATGCAATATTCTTTCACTTGAAGTTGTTTTCTTCTTTCCAGAGTCCATTGTATTTAAGGTTTCATTCTAGAACACGTTTGAGACGTGACACAATGAAGTCACGCTTCTTAACCCTGAAGCGATACACGTCCCCCTTTCTTACAGGAGCCACGCAAACAGTGACGCATGTTGACACTGTACTCTTCAACAGCGCGGGAGTCAACCAACGCATAAGCCAGTTGTTTAAAACTACGAACAAATTGTGAAATACTGCCAGGATTTTTTTTTTACAAAAATGAACGCTTGGGGTTCAAGGCATATCATAATCAAAATTGCTGAAATGCAGCATGTAGAAAAAAGTTTTTACTGACATACGAATTGGAAGGAAAGGAACTTGAGCCAAAACACATCTCTGGGTATAACTGACAGTAGACAATACAAAAAACTTCGGCCCTTTGTCAACCACTCCTGAACAAAAGTCTCCCCATGCTGTGTCGATAATGGGGGCTGTGTGACGATACTTCATCATGCTGGTCAGTGAGGGTTGGTGAAGGGGAGGTTCAAGCCTGGTTCCGCTATCACTCGCCACCGATGTTATCCGTGGCCAGGACTCGAACCGAGGTCACTGGGTTCAAAGGGATTTGTGCAAAACCACTGTCACCATTCCCCAAAACCAATACATACATTTTGATTTAAAGCTTTCGTGACCGCAGGGATTCATATTCTTGGTTCTTTATTATTTTATTGTTTCCCTTCTACGTGACTTTACCGAAAGAACCAAGAATATCAATACATATTTAGAAGGACAATGACCAAGCATCTTCAAGTCAAGACTGTGGCCTAACCCAGGACAACACACATTTACACACTATACTCAGCTTACATACGCTGTAACGTGTGGGTTAATGGACTAGTGGGTCACTTGATGAGGCTGAACAGGTTAGAATAAATGAGACACCACTGCATCAATGGCTCTATTTTAAAAACACTATTAAAGTGAGAGCAAATTCAATAAAGCAGAATACTAAACGTAATAATCATCACTTAAATCTGCCTCTTCTTTTAGACAGAGCAACACCAATGTCGTCAGTGATCACGTGTCGGTTAGCCAAATATCACGGGATGGATACAAGTAACTCAAAATGTCAATAATACAAGCATGCCTGAAAAAAAGCGATGGTTTTATTTTTTTCTTCAAACTAAATGAAACCAACCGTATGTCTGAAAAGACAAACACCACCCACACGTAGATCCTGAACTAAATGCAAACAAAAAGCTGTAACTTCTGACTTTTCAGATGCTGGAATTCTTCAAACATAACTGGGTTTTGTTTGTTATTAAGAACGGCAATGGCCAGCTTTTAAATACACAATGATTGTTAAAAGTGCACATTTCGTCATGTGCCAATTTGCACGAAGTCAATGTAAAGCTGTTAGACCGTATAAAATATCACAATTTGTTTTTTTTGGGGGTTTAGCTTACAGACACGATTCAATTTCACTTGTAATGATGCAAAACAAATTGTTTGGTGATGCTGCATTGGCAGTGGTGCAAAAGCACAATTAACAAACTTCAGCACAAGAACAGTCCGAAAAGAAATGCGAGTTTTTGCCCAAATGGCTCTTCTTCATAGCATATATACGTCTCAAACATGAGCCGAATCATGTTCACTCTGTGATAACCACATGTGTAATGCTGATTAATAAGTAATGATCTTGAGTTATGAATACTGACAAATCAAATGTATTTTAACTTAATCACCCGATTTGGGCCTGATCTTTGTGGTCTTTAAGAATGTATGCAGAGTAGAGCCTGGTTAATACTTTCATGGGAAACTGCTTGGGAATATTGCACCAGATGTTCTAGGTTTGGGTTGTGAGCTCGAATCAATCTGTGCAAAACCCCAAGTGTTATCCCCAAGTATATTTCAGTTTCATCCCACACACAAAATATGAATTGACCAATCATTCCAGTTCATTACCATCCTAGAAAAAAAGTATTGAGACTCGGCGAGAGTTTACTTAGTATAAACAGCATTAAAGTATGATTACTATTATATATGCTTTGGTTCTTTCGGTAAAGTCACGTAGATAGAAACATAATTAAATAACGTGCATTAAAAACAAAATTTTTAAACCCACTAATGTAGACTGTAGCCTGGTTCTTAAACTCGGTGAGTGTACTGGCAGTCTATAATGTAGATTGTAGCCTGGTTTTTAAGCTTTTTTTGCTGATTGGCCGTGTCGGGTGGTGGAGGGTTACGACACATTTATAAATAAACGCGATCTAACCCAAAAACCTTTATTATGAATTGGTGAGCGCATTGGCAGTCTTTAATGTAGACTGTAACCTGGTTATTAACCCGAGTGAGCGTACTGGCACTCTATAATGGTTCTTTCGGTTTTATATTTTTTGTAATTTAATTTATTCCCGAAAGAAACAAGAATAAGTCTACATTATAGACTGCCAGTATGATCACTCAGGTTTAAGTTAAGCCAGTCACGAAAGTTAAGTCAAGATACTATTATATATTTAACAAACCAAACCCAATCTTATCCATAACCCTGTAATGCAACTAAAGTAGCAACATCCATTCCAATTACTACATGAATTGAAAGCTTAAGAAGTGTGATCTGGAAAGGGCAGCTAACAAGTGCACCCCAAGTGTACGGTATGTGATTGACCAAAAATAAATCCGTTTTTTTAACATAAGCTCTGGAAAGCAATGCACATAGGGGTAGCCACCACTTGCCAATATCCACTGCTGGCATGTAATGCACAGGGAGCTGAACATAATAATGTAACAAGCACCCTCCCAAAAGTAAATTGAAAGGTATTGTACACAACAGGATTGCGTGTGCATCCCATTGGGAGGTTCATGTTATATGCCATCACATGGCCACGGAAAAGCGAAACCACAGCAGCTAGTTTAACATGTGATTTAACCAGCACAAACATCAGCACAAAGTTTAACCCCCTCTGGCAAATGCAACAATTAGCAAGTACCCTTTTTGCATTTAATAGTGCGCACACAGACTCTATGCTGCGTTGTGCTAAAGTGTAAGCAGACATGTGCTAACCCCTACACCACAAGGCCATGTGACTGTGCACATGGCCTTACAGTTTTATTAAATTACTGCACATTGCATGACTAATACTGTACCCTACAGTATTCGGGTTTACTTGCGTTATTTAAACCAGGTGGGGGGATGCAATGGAATAACATCTCATTTTGCAAACAAGGCCTAAGACCAGAAAAGAACAGTGTGTGTGTGTGGTTATAGTGTTGCATAAGACACTTGAGTACAGTAACTAAGTCCTTAACGACATACAATTAACTTTTATAAACGGGAACATTTAGAAAATATCGTTCAATAAACATTTTCATTCCCTTTTGAATTCTCTCGCCTTACCCCGAGATCGTGGTATACAACAATTATCTTCAGGGTACATTCAAAGACGTTTGAGAGTTCCTCCATTGTGAGCATGTCTGGCCAATTGCTTTTCTTCATACTCTTTTGGTTCTTTCGGTAAAGTCACGTAGGTATCAAATAAAATAAATCACGACGTTTCGGGCGCAACACACAAGCAGTCCATCATCAACGTTTACCCGCCTGATGATGGGCGCTTGTGTTGCGCCCGAAACGTCGTGATTGATTTGTTTTATTTCCTACCCACGTGGGCTTCACCGAAAGAACCAGAGAGTATGGGGATTCCTGCAGTCACGAAAGCTTCGAATCAAGATTGCGTTTCTTCCGTGCTTTAGTTGTTACTCAGTTGTTACAGATGTTCTGTCCCCGTTGTCTTTAGAAGAACGCCGGGTGGCATCAGGCGCGAAGATCCAACTTACCGCTCACTCATTAGGAAAAAAAAAGGTCTTTGCCATCGTGCAGTTTTGCTCGTTTAACAAATCTATGATGAGCTAACAACTTGCACATGGAGAGCGTCGGATAATTAACCGGTTCAACCCCCCACCCCCCATACGCGCACCATTGCATTCACTCAACTCGCTCGCATGCCTCAAACTCGGTGTTATATATACAAAAAAAATACACGTGGAAAATAAACACACACGGGGCACGGTATATACAAGTCTGGTCATATTTTTGCATCAATAAGTACGCGAACGAGCGAATGTTAAATGTTTGCGTTTCGTTGTATACGGTTAACGAAGATTGCGTTGCGGTGTGCGTGCAGGCGACGACGTTCCGAACAATGATGGTCGGCGACCTTCCCCGAGTTAACTCTCTCTCCTCTCTCTCTCCTCTCTCTCTCTCGTGAAGAGAGACGAGAGAGACGACCTCGCCTCACCTGGAGCTCGGCGTCTTGCCGCCCCCAGCGAGGATCCCAACTCCACCGCGGCCCGAGTCGTCCGGCTCCTGCCCCAGCTCTTCATCCGGCCCATAGGCGAACACCAGCGGCGGTGGTGGTGGGAGTAGCAGTAGCAGCAGCAGCAGGGCCCATACACACAGGGCTCCCATGGACACTTATTCACTTGCTCATAACAAGGGGGGAGGGTAAAACAAGGCGGATGGTGGTGGTGGTGGCACTCCACAAACACCGCTAACTATAGCACCTATCAAAACGTGAAAGCACCAATGGCAGATTTTTTTTTAAAGCACCAATTTTCACTACAAGAAAACCAACGATTATCAAACTCTAACCAGCTACCAAACACTATCCCCCAAACGCCTCCAAACAAGAGCAACCACAAGTGATGTGCATAACCCAACACTGTACAACTGCTTCGCGCAAAACGATGGCAACTATCACAATCAACAACACACTAAGTGCAAAGACGAATCGATCATTACTGTGCCATTCCAAACAGAGTGTACAATCCCACTACAAGCCACGATACCCAATCACAAAGCAAAGGCGACACACAACGCCAGTTGCGCCGACCATCATCCAAAAGCGTTCACTCGCACACGTGTTCCACCACAAACCACCTGCAGCTACGAATGGGCTCAACAAGCACTTAATATCCGTACCTTTACGCCACTTAACTGCACCACAATTCCACCACCATCGCCTGTTACCCACTAAACTGCACTACCACCACCACCACCGCGGTAGTGGTTGGCCAACCGTTCACTTTAAACAAAACTGGAATCAACTTCATAAACAACTCAAGAACCGCCCCTCCCCTCCCAGCAAAATCAAAACGGAGGACCCGAACCGCAACTCATCCCAACCACACCCCTCTAACGTTAGCCGCTGTTGTTGCTTGCTGCTGTTGCTGCTTCCCCCAGCGATTGTCATCAAGGTGGCAACTGCAAGCGCGAGTCAAGTCCAGACGCGTGTCGCGCGGCGCTTGGTTGCCTCTTCCACGCGCAACGTGACGACAGGTCAAGCCACGCCCAGCCGTTGGTAGACACGCCCACCACGCGGTAGACACGCCCACCACGCGGTACCACCACGAGCCCTCCCTCCCCCTTCTCCTCCCTCCTCCCCTCCCTCCTCCCTCCCCCCGAAACGTGTTAACGGGTCCCAAAATACTGCACCTGTAAGTAGTACTGTATCGACATTTAGGTAACTATTCATGTACAGGTTAAAAAAAAAATCAAAACTGTTCCATCAGGAGACATTTCTTGAATTGTAAGTCTTATATTTTTATTATTTTATTGTTTCCCTTCTACGTGACTTTACCGAAAGAACCAAGTATAGGACCCATGGTGTAAAACGTGCAGTCTCCAAACTCTTATTATCCGCTCTATCTCTCTGCGATGAGGGAGGGGGCCATTGCCCGAAACGTCCAATTTTTTTGTTTTAAATCCGTCTCTCTTTAAAAGACCAGGCAGCGCGTTCTTGACGAACGCATTGAGTCTCTGCTGTTGTTATCTTCTCCAAATGATGGGGCCACTTTGCTGAGCTATCATTTGTGGCCAGGTCGCTTCTGAAAAATAAGTGACTCACTGGGCCTTTGTCTGGTAGCATTGGGATGGTCGAGTGCTGTATTTGTATGTGTTTGGGTGATTTATTTACCTTTATTGTACTTTGCACTCCTATCATGTTTTTTTAAATACTGTTTGTTGTCGTAACGTTCTTATCCGCCCCGACTTGGACGTCCGTGAGAAAGAGCTTTATGGCTCATCCGATTCCTCTTGCGTCCAATGCATTCTGATTCACACGTGCGGGCCAATCGGCGAACGCTCTCGCCACCGCGAGTTTTCATGAGGCCCCGCCCCCCCATGAAACCCCGCCCTCTGTGAACACCGCCGCGCGCCCCTCCCTCGTGTAAACCCCGCCCCTTTTAAAACCCCGCCCCTTTTTTGGGTCCCGCCCACGGTTCTTGAAGGGCTGACGTCATTTGCTCGTACGTGGCTCGGAACACATGGCCAGTGAGTTGGAGCGGGTAGGGGAGGGCGCCGGTGGTGGTTGGTGGCTTTGTTCCTTTTCCGTGCGCTGCAGATTTTACCTCTTCTCTGCCACCACCCCCCCAGCCTCCTCCCAGTTTCTGCGCGCGCACACAGCCTCGGGTTATCTCATGCGCACGCGTGAGAGAAGTGGGGAGTGGAGTGGAGGGAGGGGGTGTGTGAGTGAGGTCAAGGGGGTCGTTGTTGCTCTTTTACGCCGCGTTAATTGGTGCGCCATTAACACCCGACGGTGGTGGTGGTGGTCATGCAATGGGGTCGATGGAGCGAGTGGTGTTTACTGCAGGGTGATTGCGAAAGACATTTCAGACGTAGAATACTGGATGAATCCGGTGAGCTACAAAGCTCTTTTTCTCCAGATGTCCATTGCAGTGGCTCGTCGTAAATTCATTCATTTGGATAACGTACAACTCAAATATAAAATGTACTTTACTTTGTAGACACGCATTTGGCAGTGTGTTCAGGGCCGTCCGACACCAGCTTGGAACTCGGTGAATAAGAAAACATTCGAATGCTCTTGTTATTGGGCTTTATAACAATGTACAGCGACTGTCAGTCACTTCTAGATGTGAATACTTCCCATTCCCCAGCCCACGGGGCTTGTTCGACCACACTTCTTCACCATGATGGCCATGCCGAATTTGGTGAAACGGGAGAAGCCCACGGGATCGCATCTCCCAATGTCAACTTCGCCACTTTCAGCCAGGGCCGGGACTCAAACTTGGGTGGGCCATTTTTTGATTTAAAGCTTTCGTGACTGCAGTGATTCATATTCTTGGTTCTTTCGGTAAAGTCACGTTGAAGGGAAACAATAAAAATGTAAAAAAATAACACTCACGACGTTTCGACTGTAACGCAAACAGTCATCATCAGGTGTGAAAAACCAACGGCAAGAAACATTTGAAAGAAGTGGCGGTTTGTATTTATCTATTTATTTTTAAAACGTTAGCACCACGGATAGCGATTTGACAGTTTGTTTAGATGGACGAGTCCATCTATGTTCGGAAAAGAGGAGGGGGGGGGGGGGAGACGAAAAATTAATGTATGCTGTCTGAAAGCCACCGTAAGCGTGAACAATCAATTAAGACCCGAAATGGTTTATCAAATCCTTCCAATGATTGCTAAGTCAGAATCCATCTTCTCGGTTGAAATTGTCTCTGTGTTTGTACATGTGGATAGCCTCATGAACGAATCTCTCATGGTTGCCCGATGGCTCGTCTCCCCCCTCCTCTTTTCCGAACATAGATGGACTCGTCCTTCTAAACAAACTGTCAAATCGCTATTTGGGTGGGCCAGTTCATGGGCGGAAGTTGCTCCAACGATTGAGCCATCCGTAACAGCACGAATGTGACTGTGAAAACGTGCGCAGCGTCTTTAACGACGCTCGAGTATCGTTTTAAATTGGTCATGTATGTTCTCAAAGCGGTTACCGGTTTTAGTTTTAACAAGCCGAGTTAAAAAGTCACTCTTCACTGACACATTCTGGGAGATGGGGTATCCCCCACCTCTGTATGGCCACATAACAGCAACACGTTGTAGGTTATGTGTAGTTGACTTACAATTACGTCAACGGCAGTATTTGTTGAACTCGGCAAAAATCTGAACCGCTTTAAAACCGGTATCTAAAACAGTCACAATATTAGTTTTTTTACATGCATATCTTTAAATTCGTTCATTTCATAAGCCATGTGCTTGAGTTAAAGTGCAGACATATCCTTGCCTTATAGGTGCATTTTCAAATACAGCATTAACTTGGTTTCGGTATATTTCTACTCGGCACCCTACCAGCCCTATGCCACTGCACGATCACATACTGCTGTATACCACACAACCTTGTCCAAGACTGACCTAACCACGCCAAACCTGCACATCACCTACCACAGCAAATCGATCGGGTTACCTCTTGCCAAGGCCGTAATTAAAATATATTGGGCGACACACGTACAAATATGCTCAAAATGTCCCCCCCAATATATTGCTATAAAAATATACTTTTTTTTAAATCATTGCTCTGCTGTGTAAATAAAAACAACAATTTGCTAAACCTTGGCCACAATATCTGGACTTGTCTTCATATAACAATGCATAGATTTCTGCTAATATGATTGTGGTTGTACTTTATTAATCCCTAATCTCTGCCATTACATACAATGAAACAAGGTAAAAAAATAAAAAAAACAGAACAATGTAATACAATACACTGAGACATTGTTAAAAATGAATAAAAAGTCCATCCCATGTGTTAGTGAACTTTTAAAATATTTTAGGCAGGAAATGGTTTTCAAATTTTTCTGGGGGAAACCCCCAGACCCCCTAGAAGATTTGTCCCCCCCCAATGTTGACTCAATGCCTACGGCCTTGCCTCTTGCTGAAAAAAATCGAGCAACGTTGCAGCACAGAAACACGATTTGTAAATGATCGATTAAAAATATTTACACTGAATGACAATTTATCTGTCCAAGGGCAGAATATCTATGGCTGAAGGTCCCTCCATCATAACCAAACCCACCCTCTCACCACGTAACACGGGTTCTTGAGCATTTGAGTTGCTTTCCCATTTCCTTCAACACTCACCAGACGCAGTTTAACGTATAATCATCAGTGTCACACGCTTAAAGTGAAGGCTCAACACATTTTACAATATCTGTGCCCTGAAAGGAAAACAATACGTAGTGTTCGGTTTATTTTGATTTATTAAACGGATGTTCCCGTTTAGCCAGTTGCCCGTTGTGCGTTCGAGCAGCAGCAGCAGCAACAAAACAAAAAAACGTCAATATGGCAGAGAATGCGATTAGCCACCGATGGCTACGAACGGTGCGAAAGAAGTTCAACATACATAGCACAACGATGAATGGCGCAGAATGGGCCCTATTGTGTACGTGTATTTGTTTTGCCCATTGTGCCTGTGCATCTCTGCCAACGGAACATCGGCATCGCAATTATTTTCGTTGAAGCTTCGAGTGGAATTGTTGTGTACAACGTCCCTAATTCTAGATTTGAAGCTTTCGTGACTGCGAGGATTCATACTCTTTGTTTTTTTTTCGGTAAAGTCACGTAGGTCAAATAAATGAAAACTAAATTAAATCACGACGTTTCGGAGGCAACACAAGCTTCCGTCTTCAGGTGGAAGACGGAAGCTTGTGTTGGGGGGGGAAGCTTGTGTTGCCTCCGAAACGTCGTGATTTAATTTAGTTTTATTTTATTTTACCTACGTGACTTTACCGAAAAAACCAAAGAGCACAACGTCCCTATTGGACAATGTTGCGTACTACATACAATGCAGAAGGGCGCCGAGTGTCGTGTTATCCCAATTGCTTTGAACCTCTTTGCCGATAGCGATTTGTGTACGGTACTACTTCGTGGTTTTACCGCAATGAAAAGGATCACGTGATTTCCAGACCTCAATCATCAAGATAGTGTTAACCGGCGATTAGGAAAACACGTATGGCCCTGTAAGTGTATACATTGTACTTAATGAAACGCTTTACGAGGCTCTATCTACTGCTTGATGGTGCTGTGTCAACTTTGTTCCCAGTCAGATCTGATTGGTTTTGGGAAGAAATACCAGTTACGTTTTTCCATTAAAATATATTCCATTAACCTTTGGGTTTGTAATACTGGAGCACATGCGAGCCTGGATAATGCTTGGATTGGTGACCACGATGCACAATACTGTACAGTCATAAGCTGATGTGCAGCTATGTTGAAGGCACCAGAGGCCTGGGCAACAACATCCATTGTTGTAATGTACTATGCTCTCACGTCTATGCTTCTTGCCTTTAACCCGCACTGACCAGCGCGGTAAGGTTATGGTAAAATAATCCCAAAAACTCGCATGGGCAGTGGTTTGACGAAAGGGCTGGACATGTACAATGCATCACAAACAGCAGCCTTTGGTGCCAATGCAAAATAATTTGAAGGTATTGGAAATGTAATGATTCCCAAACGCGTGGTCTCTTGCTGCAGTTCTGATCCTATATTTTGTAACCACTTAAAAAGCAAAACATTGCAAGGTTATTCGTGACAAAATGAACAACACTGCCTCTTACTTTTACCGAGTTATGTTAAGCAACGTTAACATACCACCTGGTTACAACATACGTGGCTCTGCACACCCATCGCACCACACGCACCACTTCATACGACTTCAAAACGGTTGCACACAGACGCTCTTAACCACTTCTCCAAACAAAAATGAGAAGTTAAATATTTATAAATACCCAAATCATTCCACAGCAATTGTTTACATGTGATAGTTATCAGAGAAGAGTAGATGTATGTATCATTGCATCAGCCAATGAATAATTTTAGTTTGTATTGTCCACAATACTTGTAAGTTAGAAGTTAAGTTTCCGAGTCAAGCCAATTGAGCTATACACAGCTCTTTTTCAAGGGTGACTGTCCCCTCCCCCGGCAAAGGGCAGCAGCATAGCGTTACAAATGACCAATTACACGTACTTTTCAAAAATAAAGAATTATTTTCGACTTACGAACTTTCAGAGATACGGACCTGTCCGTATGTCCAGTTGCCTGTTCGAACAGAGTCATACGCTAAACTGTCGTGCAATAGATGGCGGAGGTGGCAACTACACCTGCAAAACATGAAGAACCCGTGGCGTCTACATCTACAGGAGATTATACAACTTAAAAAAAAACATTCCCCGTGTTTAGTGCCATACAACGGGTTTGCAATCAACAGGAGTCAAGTTGAGCTTACGAACAAATCGACTTATGAATAGACCTCTGGAACCTAACTCTTTGTAAATAGAGGAGTCCCTGTATTACCATAAAACAATTAAGCACATTCACATTTGAAAATGTGTGATGTCAATTGGGTCTGTCTAAAAGAGTACTTTACATAGATGGCAAAATGGAAATACCAATAGAAGACGCCAGGTGGTTTCAAAATCTTTGGAGCAGCTACACTTTTAAACCATTGCGAGGACTTTTGTAACTGCTGCCGTGCAAGGCTCCCCGCTCTGTGGACATCTGTGAAAGGGCTCCCACTCTGTGCTCCTGGACATCTGAAAAAGAGGTTTATAGCTCATCGGATTCCTCCAGTATAAATATTTCGTTTATATCCCGCGCACATTGAAATCGGATTGCAGCCCGAACTCCATGGGTGAGGGCTGTAGGCGGCAGGGAGAGCAACGAGGCCCAGGACAGGAGGGGGTGCGGGACAGCGTGACGAGGGGATCACCCCTCCCCATTACCACGTACAAACTAAAAGCCAATCACAACAGTAGGTCCAAGGTCAAGATTGAGGTGAAGGGTGCCGGAAAGATCTTCAGACGTGGACATTCACAGCTTTGTGTAGAAGCACTCATTCGATCAGAGGAAACTCACGAACCAATGGAGCGGTTCACATATTGCTGGAAGGATTTTAAAATCTGACAAGGCTCTTCTGTCTGCAAATGTTATATTAGTTTTACCACAGGATGGGCAGGAGGCATGAGGATAGAAAGCATTGGAGAAGAGTTGCCAAAGTTTGGGGTATTGTGTCAGAAGAGGTTAGCATTTTTATCACTCAATTGGAATTACACATAGCAATCATCAACCAAATACTGGCAGCCTAATGTCTGATTGCAGGCCAGGTGCCGAGTCACATCGTGCCCACAGGGACGAGCTGCCAATGTTTGAGACCCAGATGAGCTGTAAAGCGCTCCAAGAAACTATTCATCATTATTATTAAATGTTTTCCGGGACAAAACCAAATGACATGTGCTATTAAGGGCCGTTGCCCAAAATGTCACCTTTTTTATATATATACAGTAAAACCTTGGATTGCGAGCGTGTTTGTAATCCAAAGCACTCGTATATCAAAGCGAATTTCCCCATAAGAAATAATGGAAACTCAGATGATTCGTTCCACAACCCAAAAATATTAATATATTTTTTTTTAATACAAAATACCTTAAATTTTGATTTAAAGCTTTCGTGACTGCAGTAATTCATATTCTTAGCTCTTTCGGTAAAGTCACGTTATTGTTTCCCTTTAACGTGACTTTACCGAAAGAGCTAAGAATACAAAATACCTTTTTATATTTGTATCATTTAAATTTAATAAAAAGTATTCAAATGTATTAATTAAATGTAATCGTGGCTGGTGTGAAGGAGACGAGAGAGAGGAGGGGCCATTGTTGCAGTACAGTTACTAAAGAACACTCACTACACTTGGGACACAATAAAAAATGCTTTACGCACACACACGTGGTCACAACACTATACTGTAGTAAACAGCATACAGGTGGTCACAACACTATAGTACTGTAGTAAACAGTATACACGTGGTCACAACACTATAGTACTGTAGTAAACAGTATACACGTGGTCACAACACTATAGTACTATAGTAAACAGTATACACGTGGTCACAACACAATAAGTACTGTAGTAAACAGTATACACGTGGTCACAACACTATAGTACTATAGTAAACAGTATACACGTGGTCACAACACTATAAGTACTGTAGTAAACAGTATACACGTGGTCACAACACTATAGTACTATAGTAAACAGTATACGCTCGCACGGATGTTGACTATTCGAGTGAGGCACGCCGACTGAGACCGAGCACGGGAGACGATTACCCACAATCCCGCAGCGAGAGAAGAACCATCGGCTCAGTTGTGATGACGTGACGCTCGGCAGACAAAGTGTATACTGTACTACTCATTGCAAGACCTCGCTCGTTTATAAAGTAAAAATGTATTTAAAAATTTTGCTCGTACTGCAAAACACTCGCAGGCCAAGTTACTCGCAATCCAAGGTTTTACTGTATATTCCTTTTTAGGCAGTGATATGATCACATATACAATACAGTGTATTGTTTTATAAATCTGCCTCCCAAATATAAAAGCAGCACACACACATCTTTCCTGCCTTAATTACGACTCAGGAAATTCGGAAATCAAGTACACATTTATTACGTAATTTCTGTAACAGCACACAAAATTTACACCTGCCAAAATCACAGATGAAAAGGAGAATGTAATATGCTACAATTTCTCACATTTATCTCCGGCTACCAGTGTTCCACACTTCCCCCTCCTTAATAGCTTTGAATAGCCACCCGGGACTCTAGGATGGCGGCTAGAGTTTGTGGCACGGCGTTGTCGGGACTTAATTTGCGCTTACACTCAACAGACTGGCCCAAATGCAATCCATCCACTTATATTCACACCAGTCAACATCTTCTCCAGCTGTGACCTCAAACACATATTGGCCATTATAAAGTCGCATAAACAAATGCACATTTTTGCAAGCAATTCATATTTTTCTGAGCAGGGCTGACAAAAAAAGCCCTCAGTTGGTCCAGTATATAGGTGGTGCGCGAGTATGAATTAGTCGACAATATTTAAATGCAACCACTTTTTAACAAAATCGGAGGCAAACCGGTCCAGCCTGGTCAGATTTGGTGGACGCATCTCTCCCCGTGGGGGGTGTTCAATTGGACGTGTGGTGGGCGAGTCGGGCGGCGAGCTCCACCAGAGTGCGTGTGGGACGCCCCGCCATGCCCTTGCTCAGGTACGGCACCTCGTCCTTGTTGTCCATCACACCGGCGATGTCCAGGTGGGCCCAGTGCTTGGCCGTCACGAACTCCCGCAGGAAGGCAGCGGCCGTGCAAGCGCCACCGGCCCTATGCTCGCGCAAACACCCACGATAGCAGCACCTTGTATGTGTACGCGAGGATCGAGTACAAACCAGGCATATCGGCGATTCACCCTAAACAAGTGTTTAAATGAAATGTCATGATTCTGAGAAGCGATTCGATTGAATAATCTACCTTTTGTCTGGTTTGTTCTGCCTCACTGTCTTTCTCTTTTGTTCCTCTTCTTTGTACGGTCACGTTCTGTCTTGTTTGTATTGTCTCAATGTTTTTGTCTGGTATCATCTGCCTCCTTTGTTCTAATATCCTAATGGAATATAAGCATGCAATTGGCCTATCATCATGAATAATAAATCAATGATCTATAACTCTTTGGGTCTTTCGGTAAAGTCACATAGATAGAAAAATAATACATTAATAAAAATCACGACGTTTCGATCGCAACACAAGCAATCGTCTTCAGGTGAAAAAATACAGCAGGCGGACTGCTGAGGCAGGAAGAAATATAGAGGCAGGAAGAAATATAGAGCATGCACACACACACACGCACTGCCTCAGCAGTCCACCTGCTGTATTTTTTCACTTCAAGGCGATTGGTTGTGTTGTGATCAAAACGTCGTGATTTTTTTTATTAATTTGTTATTTTCTATCTACGTGACTTTACCGAAAGACCCAAAGAGTATGAATTCCTGCAGTCACGAAATATTTAAGTCAAGAATCAATGATCTTTTATAAACACAATTCGATTCGTGTATTGCAAGCACAATAATTAATTTTAATCATGAAAAGATGCACCCTTTTATCAACGTAACTTGTCTGTGGACAAAATATGCACTCATTGTGTGTTCTAATCCCATCCCTTCATGACAATTCTGCAGAGGTAAACTGAAAACCATTCGAGAAGGCTGCATTTCTTGCTGTGGAGTTGACAGTCATTCTATGCACTGACCACTACTATCGGATAGTTATATTTTACCTCTTATTCATGACTGACACAAGGAACGTGCTACATGAAGCAGTCATTTTATCCAAGATACTCCCTGAATCAAGGGAGCAGTCCACGCACATTTCCGGGGGGATTGAAAAATCTGACAGGGTCCTGGCGTCCGCAATTTACACATTAGGTTTACGCAGATGGAATGCTCTGCCTGGCTTCAAAGGCGCTCTGCCAACACGTGAATCAGCTCTTAGGTCCAAGCCCCATGCTTTTCTCAAGCAAGCAAGTGCAATGTTCAGTGACATTGCTTAATTACACAATGGAATTGAAAAAAAAAAGTTGATGCAATATTACTTGTATGTATGTTGAACTTCTTTCGCACCGTACGTAGCCAACTGTGCTGTGATTGGAGGTACTTCATATAGATGTCAATGCACTGAAGACCTTATCTTAGAATGACACACGATAAAAAAAAAATTACCTTTACAGATCTACCAGTATCAACTCAATCTGCAAATGCTGCAGTACCGGTTGCGGAGCAGGCGTCCACACTCCATGAAACACACGAGGGGCACATGCATGCACGCACGCACGCACGCGTGTGCGAGCTCTCACCGGCTGTACTTGCCGACATTGTTGATGTCGGCGAGTTGCGAATCGGCGATTTGTTTGGTGTAGTGCTGGAAAAGAGGCATCCTCCACACGCGGTCCCCCGTCTGCACACTCGCCTGCCAAAGCATTTACACAAGACACGCAGGCAGCAGGTGGTGAGAGGCGTCAATGGCTATTGCCAGGATACGTCTCCAATGAAGATAGCATTATGAAAAATCAGAGGGTATGATGTGGCTATCGGTTCAAATATACTTGCCAAACACCATCATATATAGTAGGCCGATTCATTCGATTCACCCCCATCATGATTCGATGGATTCATGGTCATAATTCAAGAATAGGAGTCATGTGAACCGTTTACATCAATTATACAAATCTAAAATAATGGTTTCACAAAGAAGATTTGATGCATGTACTGGCAGCGTAAATAGTACATTTGCTACAGAAACAGCTGGATCATTACATGCCTACTATTCAAAGAACTGTCGCAAATCAGGGCTTCGATTTGATTCAAGAATTAATTATATTTCGTCTCATTTTTATCATTATATTGGTATTATGTCTCATTTGTTCAGTTTTGCTTTCTCCAAAAAACCTTAAGAATCAATATTAGTCAATGGATATACATATTGTTATAACCATACTATTTAGTATTTATAGCGGATGTGGAATTATGAACCTGTCTTTCAGTAGATGAGCCAGTAACCTTACTATACTGAAATATTTTGAAAGAAAGTTCAGCGGACAAATTGCGTTAATAGATAATTCATCCTCAGTGTTAGACAGGTGATTGGAGCAAGAGTAATATCTCATCTTCTTTGGTTCTTTCAGTAAAGTCACGAAATAACCAAAGAAGATGAATCCTTGCAGTCACGAAAACTTTAAATAGTAATATCTCACTTTAGAAGTCAATCAGTGGCACTTTAAAAAAATAAATTAAGCCTCTAGCCTTTGAATACAGATGCACGTGGGGTTTGCGAGGAATTCCATGGAAGGGTAGGCAACTTAGAAAACATTAATATATTGTAACAAGAAAGCATTGCAGATGGAATTTAGAGGAGATGGTTGCAATAGATGGGATACGTGTGCAGCAGGGTGGAAGAGGCCAGGTAAGCGAGAGAGGAATCAGAGTGGCACCCCGAGATCGGTGACCAAGAGGAAGTCCTAAAACCACATGGTGGGGGCATAGTGCAAGCAAGCACAAACTTTGGGAGGTCACGCGTTGACTCTGGAAGCTATAGGAGCTAGCAGAAGCCATGGGGAGGTGTGCTCGCGTCAGTGGCATTTCCCCTGCACACACCCCTTGACCCATCTTTGCTTGTATTTACTCATGAAGAGCTGGATCCTTACCTCCATCAAGTGTGCCCACAGCCAGTCCGAGTTGGTGAAGACACCGGTTGCTGCAGAACCTAACGCAACGCTCATTGCTCCTGCACAGAGAACAAAGTCGCACGCCACCACCATCATTAACCACCGAGTAGTGGTGGTGATGTCACTAAAGTGTTTGTGCCAAGCTAGGCGCACTTTGTGTCCATATGCCTACTTGCATACAAAATGTAATACAATATAATTCGTTCTTAAATAACTCTGTTCAAGTAGAGCATCCCAGAGAATGTGAAAGCAAAAAGACAACTGAAAAAGCAATTGGTCAAGAAATCCGGCAAAACAAAACTGAAACAAATACTTTTTTAGTAATTTTCAATGTACTATTGAACAATCTCAATCCAGCCTTAAAGTTTAGTTACTAATCAAACAAATAATAAACTATTTAATAAAATAAAAAGGATGCGTTGTCCCAACCCCCAGCATTTCCCTGAATAAAAATAAATATTTATTTTATCTACAATGGCTTAAATTTTCTGTTGCAAAACATTAACAGTCAGCTCCACTAACTCCTGACTAATTTCTAAACTAATGACCCGAACAATCAGCAGTTCAGCAACACTGCCCGACTGCCAAATATACAAGACTAAATTGGAAAAAACACTAATCAAACCCGTCTCTGTGGCCACCGACGTTCATGAGGTGTGGTTGACCAGGCATGAGTGGCGAGCTGTGTACCGGTAAGTGTGGCCGCATCCAGCACCGCCCGTGGCTGGAACGTATCCGCGTAGCACAGCGCGTCCGCCAATATCAAACGTCCCTCTGCATCCGTGTTGTCAACCTGCAATTTAAAAAAAAATGAAAAGCGAATGCACCGTGTTCAACACTATCAATCAATTGCTAATATTGAATAAGCAGCCAACCTGTTGAAACTCTGCACAACAGAAGACTCTAAGTTAAAGCTCCCACCTGAATGGTCTTGCCATTTTTCGCCACAACAACATCTCCGGGTTTCGTGGCCTTTCCACTTGGCATGTTCTCACACAGCGGCACCAAACCTGCCAAACAATTAACCCAATCAATCAACCCTTGGGTACAGCAGAAAGAAACGCCACCCACAATGGTGCACGAAAGAATTGAGCATCGTAAGGATGAATGAAACAGTTTATTTTCTGTTTGCAGCAACATTTGTAAGTTGCGCTAAAGATAAACAGTGCAAGTCAAGCAACATTGTTCTCAAAACAATGTCTGTGTGGCTCCTTTAAAAAGGCATCTATGAGTGAAAAAAATTCATATTTCTGTGAAACTTTCTAATTTATTAAAACTCAAAATTTTTAATGTGGTGTTGTTGCTGCACACGCAACACATGCATTGATTGGCTGGCTTGGGTCACATGGTCCTTCTGACAACCTGGTTCAATATGGCTGAATATGCATATAGGGCATGAAGATTTTAAAATAATACTGGACCAATATTTGTGAATGTATATAGCACACGAGATAACACATTTCTTACATTTTCATATTATTGCCTTATTTACTTCTATAAAATGCCTGGTAATTTTTTTTTGTAAGCCAACCCAGTGGCTTTTCTTGCCTAGATTCCCTGCCTGGTGCCCTAGGCTGAGCTGCCCAGGCAAGGGGTGAGGGCAGGGGTCAGGCCTCTCACATATACTTGAACAACAATCATAGACATCAGCCGTTATTTAATTTAACGGCTTGGTAACACAAAACTCTGTTGCCAAAACCAAGAAACAAAGACGAATAGTTTAACAAGACATGGCCCAATAATTTAAGAATGCAACAAAGTAATGTGCAGAAAAGTTGCAGCATTTAACCTTGGCTTTAGAGCAAAGCATAATGGATGGTTACGTGTAGCTGAGGGTGAGGTTAATACCTATTATGTGAATTGGCAGTTGCAGTTTGGCAGCTGTGGCAATGGCTGAGCAAACGGTCGCCGCACCACCCATGTCTGCCCTCATGGCATCCATGCCGGAGGAAGGCTTCAGTGAGATGCCACCACTGTCGTCAAGTTACAGACAAAAGAAATAAGCATCACTGTCAAGTATTATTCCTGCCACCTTTAAGTAAAGCAATTACTGCATCAAGCCAAACACTTTATACCAATACATGTTGCAGTTGAAGGACAAAGACCAACACAATTTTTACAATCTGTTTTGATATTTAAAATGAATTCATGTTAATCCAGCGTTTTAGACTCCTCTGTTTTGACGTTTTACCCTGTGAAACAATGTGTTGTATAAATAAGTCAATGAAGGTGCACTTTTAGTCTCTTTACGCAGAATTGCATCATATAAATTGATCCCTGCTTATAAATCAACCAATTATATTTTCACACTTACACCTTGACTGTAAGACCCAGCAAACACGGGGAAATGTCATTCCATACAAACATTTCCTCGTGCATTTTGCAATCCAGAAAACGCAAGCACAGCAGAATTGGGTTCTACTGAGAGAATCATTTTCAAAAAATATTGATGGCTTTGGCCAATCAGGAGAGACTCCGACCACGGGTCATAAATAATGTGACGATGCTCTCTCATCTTAACAAAGTTTCCTGACAATGTTTACAATAACATTTTTTTTAAGGAATATGTTTCTGGAAACACGCTTCCACCGCGTTTGCCAGGATTTGGCCAACCTGTCAAACGTGACGCCCTTGCCCACGTATACAACGGGTGATGGCGCACCACCACCCGCGGAGGCCCCGTGGTAGTGCAGCTCAAGGAACAGGGGCGGCTCCTCGGAGCCCCGCGTTACGCTCAGGAAGGCGCCCATCTGCTGCTCCTCGATCCACGCGCGTGGCCTCGCGTGCACCTCCACGGTACTTAGGGAGGACAGCTGCTCCTGGATGGCGCGCCCGAAGATGGCGGGTGTCATGTGGTTGGCCGGAGCTTCCATAAGCCGACGGGCTAAGTTCTGCCCCTCCGCGTACACCACTCCTGTGGCCCACGCCGCTGCTCCCTCACTGCTCATGGCAGAACGGGTGCATGTGGCAATCAGTATGGTTCAGGTAATAATCATTGCATCAGTATAGGAGCAGAGTAGTTGCTTCACTTGAGTTCAGCTCCTTCATGTTATTATTACAGAAAACACTCCCACGTAGACTCGTGGTAACTGAAATGCCTAAAATATGCATGAATATAATGAATTCCTAAATTATATATTTATTTGTAACTCTTTATTCCTATAGTGGTTGAACGTACAAAAAATAGTGAGCCAATTGGACATTCATCGCTATGCCGAATAAATGTTACGTCCGTCTGTATATCCGTCCGATGAAGGTTCAAATTTTGGTTAAAAAAATACAAAATCCCTAAAACCAATCACTATGAAACTTACCACAAAGCTTACCAAAAACACCGTCCAAATCTGTATTTTGTTGGGGCAAGAATGACTAACATATTTTGTACGAGGCATTAAAAATAAATTATGCCGAAACATGAGCAAGCAGGCGTTATAGAAGGCACGTGCGTCGGGTGTACAAGCACGCGCACTCACCGTCCGTGCAGCTTGGCAGCGACGCGCGTTTTCTTCTTCTTCTTGAACTCGTCGTATTGAAAGAGAGCGAGCACGGAGCCTTCAGCGGCAGCCTGCGCATCTCCACACGGGTCCACCTCCACCTCCGCGACCTCGAGCTCCTGCAGCTGCCGGCACCCAGCTGCACCCGCATTCAAGTGCATCGGTACGCGGGGAATCAACACAAACGGTGTTTCGATTTAATTCGAGTGGCTCAGAGACCAAGCTGTGAGGTGAATTAAATAATTACATAATTTACAGCCTATTGTCAATTCACTCCTGGATGAAGGCCTCCCCCCCCCCCCCATGCTGTGATGGTCACGGAGGTTGCCGTGACCATATTTTAACATGCTGGTGAGTGTAGATTGGTGAAGGGGGGCTCATGGGACAAATTCAGATATCACTCGCCATTGATATTATCCAGAGCTGCAAATTGAACTCGCCCGGTTTACAGTGCAGCGATGACCACTGTGAAAGACATGTTGCTTGAAATGGGGCGACAACCGACGGCCCCAATTAGTGATGTAACGTGGTAATAAAAAAAAGTTGCGAACATCAAGTTATAGATACGCAATTACCCAGAGCTTTTTTTTGTTAGATTGCGAAAAATATAAATGTGTCATTAAACCCGCTGCCACCGAACACAGCCAATTAGTAAGGTTTGTCACAAAAACAAAACATGCCAATTCCTTACTAGTACAGCACACCGGTATGTTGGAGAGTAAATCCACAACATTTACTCAAATTGGCATGTTGTGTTTACGTGACAAACCTTACTAATTGGCTGTGTCGGGTGGTGGCGGGTTTAACGACACTTTTATATTTACGCGATCTAACCCAAAAAAAAACCTACTATGGATATTGGTCACGAAAGCCTACGTGTTATACGCGAGTACCTTCCGCGTAACTTTGCTTTGCACATCTACAAATATTTGACGGCCACGAACCGGTTTCTTAGCCGTGACACCTACCTGCCGCAGCTGCACGAATGGCTTCCTTCTGCTCATCCCACTGTTCCAACTTGTTTATCGGGGCAGATTTTTTTCCAAGTCCAACAATGACGACGCTGGAGAACTATCATGGCACAAAACAGTAGACGGCGACGCGTTCAGCAAGAACACAGCACACACTTTGCAGCTGTGTCTTCTCATCTCAAATGTTGTATGTCTAGAACAGCTAATATATTTTACTCTAAATGTACAAGCGTGAATGTGTAAGGCAGATATAAGAATACAAACATATATTGTTAAACAGAGTTTTTCGAATACAATATCTATCCAAAATGTTACCTCATGCAGACCATGGAATATTCTGCTTTTGCCTTTCTTCAGAGCAGGTCCAGACCTTCAGAACGAAGCAAGGATTTTTTTTTATATATAAATCATGGTAGTGGAAGTAAGCGCATTAGAATTATTGTTTTGTTAATTAATTGAAAGATATATGTCATTCTGTCCACAGCTCAGCTGAGAAAACATCACACTGTAGTGCTATCGATTTATTTTGCGTTGTCAAGCTAAGAATGCGTTCACTCCTCTATGCCCCACGGGTAGCCATCACATGTGCACAGCCATAGTGTTGAGACACAGCGCCACAGGTGCCACCGAATCTGGCTCACGACTTAGAAATCCTACCACTCGAAAAGCTCCACTCAATTACAGAGTGTTAACAAACAAGACAGGGTCTGGAGATTAGCGCACTCGGTCATTTGCAGACCTTTATTTTCCACAAAGTGAAGGCAGGCATTGAACCGCCAAAATCTGCCGAGTATACATGGTACTGTATATTGTACAGCTCGACGTGAAAATCCACTGCTGGATGAGCGCCTCCGTAGCGGGGATCATTGCCGTGGGTACATAGAACGATAATGATCAATAATAAAAGGTGTCTTTGGTTAGATCACGTAAATATAAAGTGTCGTTCACCCACCACCATCTAAGCCTACATGTTAAACAATAACACTAACACATTTAAATTTTGATTTAAAGCTTTTGTGACTGCAGGGATTCATATTCTTGTTTTTTTCGGTAAAGTCACGTAGAAGGGAAACAATAAAATAATAAAAATATAAAACAATAAAATTCTCACGCCGCTTCCGCTGCAACACAAGCAATCATCATCAGGTGTGAAAACCACAGCAAGAACTTTTGAAAAAAGTGGCGGTTATTTTTAACGTTAGCACCACGGAGAGCGATTTGGCAGTTATTCAGATGGACGAGTCCATCTATGTTCGGAAAAGAGGAGGGGGGAGACCAAAATAATGGATGCGGTCTGAAAGCCACCGTAAGCGTGAACAATCAATTAATACCCGAAATGGTTGATCAAATCCTTCCAATGATTGCTAAGTCAGAATCCATCTTCTCGGTTGAAATTGTCTCTGTGTTTGTATATGTGGATAGCCTCATGAACGAATCTCTCATGGTAGCCAGATGGCTTGCAAAGAACCTCTGTCTTGGAGAAGTCAATGTCATGTGAGCCTACTGAATTATAAGTGATCTGCCACGGCCGAGGTGTTGGTCCTACCGTGCTTTAGGTCTGCTTTGTGTTCACGAATGCGGTCCGAGGCATGGCGTTTGGTTTCTCCAATGTAACTACTACCACAGAGGCAACTTGGTTTGTAGACGCCAGGGTACTGTATGTCCGGAATCACATCTTTTACAGACGGAACCAGATCACGGATTTTATGTAATGTGTTGAATCGGACCTGGATCTTGTGTTTATTCAAGATTTTGGAGATCGTTTTTGTAATCCCCGCAATGCTGGGTAAAGTGATGGTTTTGAAAGGCTCCTCAAAATGGTCCTTCTTCATGGTTGGAGTCATAGCTTTGCGGATTGTGTAGTCCGAGTAACCATTAGCCTTTAGAGCTTGGTGTACTAATAATAGTGGTTTTCCCTTTTTTCTGGCAACACAACTGAAACCTTTTTACAAGGATCATGTCTACATTAACCACAATACCTGCAGTCACAATGTCCTTGAAACTATTGGTCCACACCAAGGGACGGCTTTCTTTTGAGCCTCGACCTAATTGGTACTCGACCAGATGACGCCAGTTTCAAGGACAATGCATGTATTACCATAGTATGTTGTTTGCATTTTGACTGCAGGTATTGTGGTTAATGTAGACATGAATCCTTGTAAAAAGGATTCAGTTTTGTTGCCAGAAAAAAAGGGGAAAAACCCTATTACTACATTTTGGTACTGGCAAAGGAGGTCTAATGATGAAGCTTGGTGTATGTGCTTGAGTTCACTGGCTATGTGTTATTGCTGTGGTTTTCACACCTGATGATGATTGCTTGTGTTACAGTCGAAACGTCGTGAGAATTTTATTGTTTTATATTTTTATTATTTTATTGTTTCCCTTCTACGTGACTTTACCGAAAGAACCAAGAATACTAACATATTTGTTTTGCTCCTGGGTAGTAAGTGTTATTTCCTAATTGTTTATGCCTCAAAAGTACAGAAAATGGATATTATTCTCCACAAACTTTGCATATGTGACCAGGACAGTGATATTTTGAAACGTACCTATTTTCAATGAGAAAACAGGCGAATTTGTCTTTTCGTTCACATAAAGCCAGGCATAAGCAATTACGAAATAACACAACCCAGAAACACATTACATAGATTAATGTGTTTCTGCACTGCCCTCTGCTGCTCGCTAAAGGGCTATACCCAGGGCTGTTCCATCCATTCTCAAACCATAAAACGGATAAAGAGGACTTCTTCCTACGCCGCGTTGTTGCCGAGGGGGTTTTGAGAGTGAACTTCACCACATTTCTCGGTACAGGTTTGGTGAAGGTGGCGGTGGAGAGGCCACGAACCGGTTCTTAGCCGTGGCCAGGAATCAAAATTCGCGTCGCCGGGTTCGTAGCGCAGCGCGCCAGGCACCGCAGCAGTTTGTGTGCGAGAAACAAATCAGCCTCTCTCTCTCTTCCACCCCTAGCCCTGAATCCCAGCAACGGTATCATAAAAGTGCAAAACGGTAACGATCCCCCGCCGTGTGGCCTGTAACAGGCTGCTGCTGCTGGGGCTAGTGCCGTTAGCGAGCAGCACCTATGATGAAGTGAAGGCCGGAACGGCACACGGGATGGGGGTGACCAGCAAACCACGTCTGACCGACCGCCTTCGTCTTCCCCAGTGGCGATGAACACACATCACACCCAGGTAATCATTTGAGGCCGAGTGGACCTAGGGGAGAGCCCGATAAACCCGGTTCTGATAATCGTCGCTGGTGTTGGTCGTGAGCGGGCAATCGAACTGGGGACGACCGCAACACCACCGCGGCCCCCCCCATCACCTGTGGATGAGCTGGGTCAGTCCACCCGGCACGCGGCTGCTGAAGGCTTCTCCAGCCGGGGTGAACAGGGAGAGGGGGGGCCCCGCTGCCTCGCCTTCCCCCGCCTCGTACACGCCCAGCACCAGACCCTTGCGCTGTCAACGGCACGACGGAGGCAGGGGTTGGAAAGCGAAAACTCACCTGATCAAGACGAAACCGTGAAAGTATTGCGGTTTTAATAACCCTCTCATGCTTGAATTACCTGAAGCAAAACATCTTTAGTGGGGGGTAGAATGCAACGTCACGAGTTAAAGGACACTGTCCGATGTACGCTTAAAATCTTGCCCCGAGTTCCACCATAATTGTCGGATTTACTCCCCGAGAACCACCCCCCTCCACCCCCCATCTCCACCCAGTGCCGTCCGTGACCTTCCCGTATCTCATTCCCCTGGGAGAACTCTCTCCGGGGGGGGGGGGGGGGGGCGTGCAGGGTGCTGCACGCTTTCACTTTGACCGAGTCTAATAACGCCCCAACAACAACAACAAAAAGAACGCACGCCTCCTCACTTCACCTTGCCGCTGTCGTTCGTCGCCTCCGCCGCGGACGCCGCGCTCAGCTTCCTCTGCACGCAGCCACCCAGCAGGCGACGGTGCCCGAGCGCCCTCAGCTGCGGCAACAGCAGCAGCATGGCCTGGACGGTGGGGGGGGGGAACACGTGGAGTGACGACCCCGGCTATCTCCGCGACCACGTGGGTTACCGCACGCACCGACGTCACCACGCGCGGGTCGACGTCACTACGCGCGCGCCGACGTCACCACGCTCGCGCGTGACAATAACCACGCGCGGGCCGACGTCACTACGCGCGGGCCGACGTCACTACGCGCGGGCCGACGTCACTACGCGCGGGCCGACGTCACCGCGCGCGTGACAGTACCACGCGCGGGGCCGACGTCACCGCTCGCGCGTGACAGTAACCACGCGCGCGCCGACGTCACCACGCACGTCGGATAATACAGGGACTCCTCTACGTTCGAACGAGTTCGGTTCCAGAGGTCCGGTCGTGCGTCGATTTGTTCTTAACGTGGTGTACGGCGTGTACACTGAACACGGGGAATGGCTTTAATCGTTGTATAATCTCCTGTAGACGTAGATGGCACTGGTTGACATGTGGCAGCCCAAGCTACACAATACACGTCCTAACCACGCTCTTGTGGTTGTTGTTGTTTGACTTGCATCCCACTGGCATTTTTTGCACACAGCGTTGGTGTACGGTGCTTTTTTCAGGAATATTTAGCTGTTTTTTCCATGGATTTTCTGTTTGCACAGTCACACACAGTCACTTTAAGATGTTTTTCTTGTTCGTGTTTTTTGTTTGTTGTAGTTGCACACGATTCAAGAGCCGAATGGCTCACAGGGCTATACCAAAATAAATAAACTGAAACTGAAACATATTCTGCAGATGTAGCTACCACTGGTTCTTCACGTTCTGCAGATGTCGATGCCACTGGTTCTTCACGTTCTGTATTGACGTAGATGCCACTGGTTCTTCATGTTCTGCAGATGTAGATGCCACTGGTTCTTCAAGTTCTGTAGATGTAGCTGCCACTGGTTCACGTTCTGCAGATGTAGATGCCACTGGTTCTTCACGTTCTGCAGATGTAGATGCCACTGGTTCTTCATGTTCTGCAGATGTAGATGCCACTGGATCTTCACGTTCTGTAGCTGTAGATGCCACTGGATCTTCAGGTTCTGTAGATGCCACTGGATCTTCAGGTTCTGCAGATGGCACTGGTTCTTCACGTTCTGCAGATGTAGATGCCACTGGTTCTTCACGTTCTGTAGATGCCACTGGATCTTCAGGTTCTGTAGATGCCACTGGTTCTTCACGTTCTGTAGATGCCACTGGATCTTCACGTTCTGTAGATGCCACTGGATCTTCAGGTTCTGTAGATGCAGATGCCACTGGATCTTCAGGTTCTGTAGATGTAGATGCCACCGCCGCCATCTATTGCGCGGTGGTTCAACTTACTCTCGATCCGAACATTCAACTGGACGTACGAACAGGTTTGTTCCGATCTTCCCAAGTCCAAAGTTCGTAAGTAGAGGAGTCCTGTTCCACTGGTGTAACGTCCTCTCGTCTGTTATACTTACGCGATTAATCGCTTTCATTTTCATTTACAAGTTTATGGTTGAAAAACTTCTGTATGCAGATTTTTTTTCCCCTGTCCCCTTGTCTTTAGGCCGTCCTTTCCTTTTTAGGCTTCGTCCATTCCTCTAAACCACATCGCGTGAATTGGCAGTGGTGCCAGTTGTGAAAGATGGGGGAGGGGGGTGCCAGCAGCAGTGGTGGTAGTGGGCATCAATTACAGATGTGGCAAAGTTGAACTGTGCCGAGTCAATGAATGCGGACCGTTTATTGATTTGCTTACCTTTTTTACACTTTTAACGCATTTTTGTCGAAACTCTGTGACCCGCCCCTACTGGACATGTGGAAGAGCTTTCCAACTCAGGTTGCTCGAGTATAAATCCAGATTCTTAGGTTTAAAAAACGTAATGATTATTGGAAATGTTATTCAATGTATCAATTATAAGTTACATGATTTGCCAATGGAAAACCGTAACACATTTATGCAAGTTGAAGTGTTTTGCATTCAACACCACATGCTGTATTTTCAAAATGTGATTGGAAGACATACAAAACCTATGTCAAATGCAAGTGAATTGTATCAGTGTATTTTCAAACATTGGACGAGTTCAGTTTGTTTCAAGCGTCAAATTACCCTTGCATGAATTGTCAGTCAAGAAAATTCGTCATCTTCAAACTTCACAAAAAACGCTTAAAAGTGCAATATTTAAATCTTTTTTTATTTACTCTGAAAAATGAGGAAGACCTCAATCTTTCAATTTCTCGTTGGGTAATAACACCAGGATTTCTTTGTACGTTCAATGAAATACAATGGCAGAACCCTGGTATTCATTGTACAACGAGTTCACAGACCACCGGACAGTGTTGCCAGCCCTGCCTTGGGCAGCTTTAAAAAGCCGAACTTAAAATTCGCGAGAAAAAACAACTAATGTGTAGTCACCGTTTTGCTTCAAGACAGCTGTGCTATAGAATTAAGCACGCAGCTACAGTGGCCCCTCAAACTCCAAATAAATATGCGCAATTATTGTGGACCATCTTGTAGTTTTTTTTCGGGATTGGCAACAGAATGGGGACTGCACAAATTGTAGGTAGTCTACCGTCAATTAAGGGAATTAATAAAACTGCAAGATGGTCCCTTACCTCACTGCATAAAAAAAATGAAAATATCCTACTTCCATGTTGTAGATTTTGGAATACTCTGCTCATAAATGTTTACAATGCAACAGCAATTCACACACATCAACAATGCACCAATAACACTGTGCAAACAACAACTGCCTTCTTGATTGCAGGCAAAGCTCCTTTTTTAGTCCTTCTGGCATCAGTTCTCCATTCCGAAAAATATTGGGCCATGGATGCAGACATCTTCATTCTGGCTCCGTTCTGTGGTGCAGATTGGTGTGATTTAGTTCATTTGTGGTTCGTTAAAAAAAAGGGATATCCTCAGCATTCGTGAAGCTCCTGTTAGTCTGTGTAACGACACAGGGTCGGTGCATCCTACGCAAAAGCAGCAACTGCCAAATGTGGCCCATGTGGACCAATAGTCCCAGTGGTTTCATAGCCGCGCACACAAAACATGCGCTTACCCCAAAGGGACACGTATAAATTGGTTGGCAGTCAATGTGCATATAAGAAACCACGAGAAGTGCTCAGTCTAGGCAAACCAACACTACTTAAGAATGTCATTGGAAGAGTTTGGATGCAAAGAAGGACAATGACCAAAACCTTTGCAAGGAGGCCAGGCTTTTGTTGGCAACTTGCAATTTGGCTGAAATGGAGACGAACCGCAGGTGAAAGGGAAACAAAGTAGTTACACAGACTAAGTTTTATTAACAGGGTGCCCGCTGGATATGTGCAACCAACAATAAGGTCGTGGGACAATATGAACAAGCAGTCTTTTTTTTCCTTTTGTCAAGTCAAGGTTCAGGCCTGACTTATATCCGGCGGGGCTATTTATTTAATTATTTTTCAGAAGGCAGGGCTGGGCGGGTTGGTTGTTGGTTTTCTCCCAATTGCCCCCGCGGTGGCCGTGTGTACTCTAGGCACGTGATTGAAGCCGGAGGCGCCGAGCCCGTCCCTCAGTAGTCGTCCAGATTGAACTCCTCGTCGTCACCCTGGAAGTCCATCCCCTGGAAGTCAACCCGGTATCGCAGGATGCCTGGCAGAAAACACAGCAATATCCATTAACTAGGATTCAGATATTCCCAAATGTCACATTTGGCTCAGTCAATTCTCAAACATATCCTGGGTAATAGAAGGGAGCGGTGGGCTGGGATAAAACTAAAACAGATAATTAAAAAGATTTTAATTAAGCTCTAAAACATGTATTTTCCTCAGTAGAATGAGTTTAATACGTAGATTGTCTGTTTTATTGTTTCTTAAAATAATCGGATTACTTGCCAATATGGCCACATGTGTAATAAACCAGTGAGCAAGTAAAAACTAATTTTTGCAAGCACGGTTAACCCATAGCCCAGATATAATCAATAATTAAGAGGTACTGTATATGCATAAATTAAAATAGGGAAAACACCAAATTTCAAACGGGAACAAATTTAAATTGTTTACAAACTCGTATGTATTTCTAAAACGATGGGAAATAATGTAATCAAGAATATTGTCACATTTTTCATCACCTCCAATGCCTCCAAAGCCCCTGACAAACTGGGAGCCTTCCTGGGACTTGTCCGTGATGATTTCCAGCGTGGCTCCAAACTTCTTGTAGTTGTTGGCAAACCACTCCAGCAGTGGCATATTCTCAACCATCTCATGCTCCACCCCCGTCTGTTAAAAAATAATGTACCAACAAGCAAGACACAGCAGCTTATTCTCTACACTTTGTCCTATACATTTCCCTTCAACCACAATAGACACTGTTTTAAATGTCAAACGGAGAACAAAGGCTGTTCTCGCTTGAACACAAAATATCTGGAAGTCAAATATGGTATTTTAACTCATGTAAATTTAAAGATTTGCAGTTCTGCTCTGATATTCATCCACTGCTGTTCAGTTATTCCTGGTTGATGTAAATAATTGTAGTGTGGTACACCAAGGTTGCAAATGTTAAAATTACAAACCTCTTTGTCAATGAAGTGTGACTTGTCCTTTTCTTGCTCTGGCGTTAAATACAAAACCTTCTCCGGGTCTTCAGCTGTTATAAACATGTCAAGAATTTAAATTTCACATGACCAAAACTGAACATATTTCAAAATCTGTGTGAAGTTGAGTTAGCAATTCAAAGTTTAACCATGTGCTTTTGCAAGAATGAGAATCCATTCCCATTTCAAAAAGGATTATGAGCACCGTTTGCTTTCAATTGGCATCGATGGTTTATCACGAACCTTTTTTTTTAAACAAAACCGACTAAGTGTGAAACGCTAAATATAGACGTCATTATACAACATGCATTTGTAAATGGTGAAAACCCACATGCAAAAATAACGCATCACCAACATACTACAACATTGTTTGTATAGTTCACATCCGCTGACCCAGGTGGGTATAACGCAACCTACTAACCCAGCCCAAAGCGTTGGATCATAAGACGCTTGTCAACCCACACAAGGTTTGTTTCATTTTTATTTCCATGTGCTGCTAACCTTCAGCTGGGTTGCACCTCAGGACGTATCGCGTAATCTCCAGATTCTCCCATACGATGAGGATCTCCACCGCGCCCATCTCCAGTGCCCTCAGCGTGTCATCCACCCCAAAGCAGTACTTTCCCGTGTCCTGGCTGATCTCCTCGAAGTACTTGCCTGAGTGGGCATGGCATGATTCAACATCACACGGGCCACATGGGATCGATGCAGCAGAGGTTTTGTCTCCACCTTTATTAAGTAAATGCAAAACTAAAATGTTATGTAACAAGTGCAAGGACTGAAAATGTTATGAAACTATACCACAATTTTAGGGCAGTGATGAGTCTAAACGTTGCCTGAAAGTATATATACCCCTGGCTTCCAATCAAATGGAATATTTTTTTTTTACTATAACGTTGCAAATGCAAGTTGTGGGCACCCCTTAACACTAACTAGAGGCAGAGCCCATCAGCTAAGCTGCTAGAAGTGAAATATATTTTTTTAAATCACTATTAAACAATGATGCATTTTCTAATAAGATTCAATTCTATTTGAAAACGAGTGTGCAGTTTGTCAACAATGAGTAACAACCAATCACCAAAACCTCATGCGCACGATAAGAATATTTTGAATACTCAATATTGTTTTTCCCAACAATCTAACAGTTTTATTAACCGCATTCAACCATTAACCAACTGACATGCATATGTGGAAAACCTGTGTATTTAATTCAATCACTTACCAATGAGCTTCTTCTCTTGGATGAATTTGACACTTGTGAGCACCTCCTGAGACAGCTCTATGGCCTGGTTGAAGCCATTTTCCCCTCCATACGATATGTCCACAATTTTCAGCACCTTTGACTGCAACCTCTAGTAAATCATATACAAATACATTAAATAAATTGAATATGGCAGTGTACATTTTTTGGGGAAAACCAATAAAAAATGTCAAAGCGTAAAAAATATAAATTGCTTTTGCGAAAAATAGCTACAAAGAGCAACTACAAAGAACTCCAGTGTCATTGTATATTTTTGTATATCTATGCTGATGAAACAGCTGTACATATCCACTTAAGACACCACTCCTCCTCACCATCTGCTGTCACACCTTGTCTTGATACAGTCTCATCATGGACTCTCTAAATTCATGAAGTTAAATACACCCAAAACAGAAGTTTGCCAAATTTGCAAAAAAATTGCCTCAACAAAGAACCCATCATGTACTCCTCTTTGGGATCAACAAAAGCTTGCCATTGTCAATAATCTCAGCATTATCCTGGGTCTATAACTCTCCTTCCCCAATCATCTCACATCATCGAAAACATTGACATTATCCTCAGTTAATAACTCAGCTTTCTCACCATAACGGTTCAACTTGGAAAGAATATCTTTATCCCTCACTTGTACAAGATTTCCCACATCTGCCACTTCTATTCCCTAACTACAGCCAAGACCCATATCATTGTCTTCATCACCTCCTGCCTTGACTGTCACTCCATTACAAAATGGGCTCCCCAAATCCTCCGCCTCCAAATTGCCGATGCAGAATGCCACGATAAGACTCCATACACCCAACTCGGAAGTCCATACACGCAAATGGGCAACGATAACATATCACTTCAATACACAGACTCATTTTCTAGCCAAATTAACCCAATCAAATGCAATATCATCCTCACCACCATTAAGTTCCTCCATGGACTCATCCTCACTTAGATCTTCTTTAACATCTCACTCTGTTCAGTTACACGACTAAAGTACTTTCAGACACTTTAAAGATTTGTGTAATTATTAATATAATTATCAAGTGGCATAATATCTAAACCAATTAAAATCACACCCATTCACGTTAAGGTAATTATTTAAAATTCCGAGTTTGCCTAATTCATGACACTAGCTCGACTGTTCTCCCCCATTAGCTCTACCACAGTAACCACGATCTTATGCAAGAGACCTCATTCAATCTCTGCTCAGTGATCGGTTGCCCCACTGGTGTCCCTGTAGTCTGGAATTCCCTCCTGTTGGTCGTCCACACTGCCGAGACACTTCTGCAATTCAAGTCCAAATCATGACCCCAATTTGTCACCATTCTATTCCGTGTCTTTTATCCCACCCACACAGTTCATGTAAACACTAATTAATTGGCCGATAACACCTTATTATGGAGAGGATCACAGAGATTTGTGGGAACTTGGTGCCGGCGCACCACGTGACTGCCATTTCCCAGTCGTCTACGATTCCTTGCACCTCTCAAGTCATCTCTTCAAGAGCGAGAGATTCCTGTGCGCATTGCAAGTTTTAAATTATTACTTGTCCTAAAACAACCTTGTCGAATCCTCCCCCATTCTCTTTATTACCATCATCCCATTCACCAATACAAATTTTAACAGGCAGGAATTAAACAGCAGCTCGAAAGAACAAAAAAACGTCTTAGGATCCTGACAAAAGGCCAACACTGATGCTGACGTGCGGCGCCTTGAGAAAGGCAGTGAATTCCAGACGACTGGAAGTTGCAGCAGAAGCGATGTTGGCCTTGTCTGTTTCCAGAGACATGCTTGACAACGAGGCTAGCTTGAGGCAGATCGGAGGTTGCGTTGTCAAAAAAATGGTTGCGAGTGAAAAATCACCGTTTCAAACAACTGACTACTATTTTCCAAGATTTAGGCTTTGAGCAGACTGTTAATTGATTAAATAAACGAATAAAAAAACACAACACCATATTGGCAGGCAGCAAAATTATGGGGAGCAAATAAACTGCGGCTGCTGCACTAACATATACTGATGGTGGAATCAACGTCAGGAGGAGAGGGGGGGGGGATGTCATACTAAGTAGCAGAAAAGACCACTAGAGATGACAAATATGAAATCGGTCAGTAACAACCCAGACTGGATCAACAACAAAAAACCCACCGGGTCAAACATATCGGACTGGCTGAGCTCCGTCTTGAAATCAGCTGACCCTGCCAGGATGAGGCCCACTACGTTGGGCTTGTCGTTGGAGATGAAGAGCTGCACGGCTGTCTCTGCCACCTTTCGCACGTAGTTGTGCCGCTTCTCCATGCGAAGCCGCGCAAAACGCAGCGCTGACTGACCTCCACGTCCTACGAGAGACAGAGAGAGAGAAAGATTCGGTAAGCAGGTCACATGAAGCAAGCGCGAGCGAGGTGACCTTGCTGGTAACAACCACGAGCGGTGGAGGACATGACTGTGACAAACACAGCTGCCCACGCAAATAAAATGAGCAGTCATAGGGTAAGAAAAGCTGTTCACAAGAGATTGAGGTAGAATTTCTCGGGAACAAACGTGGATGATTTTATTATTTACTCAATCCAAAATAGAACAGTGCAAGACACTTTTTATTTGTGACTCAAGCTGATGCATGTGCCAGCATATGCGGTTGAGGTGGCCTGAAAGCGATTACATTTGAAGATGAAGTCTGATTATAACCCCATAAATTTCAGGGACCTAAATTCTTGACTTAAAGCTTTCGTGACTACAGGAATTCATATTCTTTGGGTCTTATGGTAAAGCCATGTAGATAGAAAAATAATAAAATTATCACGACGTTTCGATCGTAACACGCAATCGTCTTCAGGTGAAAAAGTATAACGAGAGAGCTGCTATCTGCGCGGATTTACCGAAAGACCAAAATAATATTTTAGGGACCTGTTAGAGATTTGTTGTAAATCAAAAGTATGGTTCGGAAAAAAGGTAACAGCAAAGCTTTCAAATTATTCATTTTCAAACCTGCTGTTACGTTTGCACAACTGACCAGTGAAATGACAAAGGCCAAGCACAAAATTTCAGCAAAAGTCATGTTTTCTACAATGGTTTCCATATGGTTGCATGCAAAATAATCAGCTTCTCAATACACATTGCGTATTCATGTTGTGACCTCTGAGGACATGAGTGGAAATGCTGACATTTAACGGCTTGACCAAATCAAAGCTTGGTTCAGCTCACTAAGGAATGAGGGAGTTTCTTACAGGTGTGCAAACACACAATCATGTAAACACGTGCTATCTGCTCTTTTTAAGTGGATGTGATTGGTTTTAAATGGATAAAGTTTCACTCGTGTAAAAAAATAAACAGACCAGATGTGGACAATCCAACTGGATCATAGGCAAGCTGCTTATATCCTCGATGCAAATTGGTTTCATTAAGCAAGCTGCAGTACAAGTGCATTAATCCAGATTACGGTGCAAATGCAAAACTACCCTGCACACAACTCAACTTTATCAGGCGATGCCTTTTTTAACACAATCACAAAAAAGGCTATTTTTAAAAGCCAACTGGGTAGCACCTAGCAGTGTGTTCGTAAAAGACTGACCGTGCTTTTTGGGGAGGTCCACAGTAAACTTGTGCAAGACCTCTCGAGTGTTGCCCTGCAGCGTGCCAAAGAGCGCGCCATTTCCATCCATCACGATGAAGCCAAACTTGCTGTCGTCTGAAAGCAGCGCCGTCAGAGCCTGCATAGAGACACACGGCATGGCATTTTATCCACCTTCGGGTCCAAACGGCATAATTCCAACACACACGGTGGTGGCCCTCCTGCAAACCTTTGGGAAAACACAGGACGTACAAAGTAAACGCAAGAGTTAAACAAATTCTATTTTATTTCGGGTTTACAGAATTAAGCTGGGTTTTATTTCTTCTCATTACCTATTTCACTCAATACAAAAAAAAACTAAATTTATTTTTTTCTGCAAGTTGAATACAAAAGCGCAATGAAAACATTTTGTACCTCTATAATGAAGGCTTTTGAAATGCACGTCCAAGATAGATAGAATCTAAAGACTCCCAACTCACACCATTACATTCAATAACATAGCAACAGCAGCCACACTCACGCACCTCTGTGTGGAACTTGTTATCGCACAAGTAAAGCGAAGTGTTGATGGGCTTGAAAGGCTCGAAATCGATGTTGACTTTCTTCTCTTTACCCTCCTCTGTGACGATCGTGCCACAGTAAACCACCAATCCATTGGGAGGGACTGTCGATAGGGAAACACGGATCAAGGGATATACCTCTCATATCAGGTGTGGTAAGGAAGCTACAGGACATTGACTGCATGTTGATCAGAAATATTCTGAGCAAGGACCATGTAAATGCCACAAAAAACCCATAATTAAAATATCTGGCCTGATTGAACATTACAAGCAGCCTGTCTCACAGCATGGCTTCCTTTGCTAATTACAACAGAATACCTCCAGCATATATATGTAATATACATAAGCATAATGTATAAATGGATCTGAAGCTTTTACACATCTTGCAATCACAAACTGAAACGCACCACAACAGCACAACCCATCAAGTGTCACTGTTGTTATATCGGCATTTTTAAGTTAAACAAAACTGCAGTGGAATCTAAAATGGCATGGATATAATGAAACATAAGCAGCACTATTGAAGGAGATAACCTTTAATCAAATAGGAGATGGAGAAAAGTGCCTGTGTTAACAGGGGACGAGGATGAAGTGCCGAGTAAAACAATGGAACTGAATTATTGAAAATAAAGGCTCAGCCAGGAGCTGATATTTTTCAAAAAAGAAAAATCAACTTTCAGTCTTAAGCTGAAACTAAAAATACCGTGTGGTCTCCTGAACGGACCACCAACTTTATGCTAAAGGTGAGCAATTACATGGAAAAATACATTTAACATCAACATACAGCCTTAAACCATTTTACACTTGTTTTGCAAAGTCTCAAGAGCCAGAGGGAAATAAAATGTGTGTCTAGTGGCTGGAAATCTCCTTCCCTACCATGCTGCCAGATTTATTGCTGTGGGGCATCAGAGAGGCACACGCGCGGCTTAAAGTCATCAGTAATTGAGGCATCAGTGCACGGTGCACACACTTTCTGAATGCACACCGCCATGCGTGACAGGCATGTGGGCACATCACCACCACTCCATCTACGTATGTGTACATGTACAGCCCTTTTGTTAATCCACTGCTGGATAAGGGCCTCCCCATGCAGTGCTGGTGGGCTTGTAGGGCCCATGCCGTGTGATGGGGGTAATAGGGCTATACTTCACCACGTTGGTCAGTGCAGGGTGGTGAAATGGGGGTGGGGGGGGGGCTAGATGTGACCATAGAAGTACAGTACAAAAATATAAACTGCTGTACTGCCTAGAACATAATTTATACATCAAAGCCTACCCCTGCCTATCTTTCAAAATGTGAAGAGATTGGGTGTATTTCTGGCAATTTGACACAGGCAAGTACTCCATGTACAAACACACCAATATCCCAATGCCATGCTAACAGCTTATCTAAACCCCCAAAAGAATCTGCCACCACAGGCGAAGCATAAGCAGACACCCTTGGGTATATTAACTAATGGGAAGTTTCAGGAATTTTCCTTCACTCAGCAAGGACACGTAATTGCCGTGGACATGGTATAAGTATGATTACACACAGGTAGCCCTGGAGGGAGTGGTGCCAGCGGTTAGAAGCGAGAGAACCCCAGAGACCACAGCAACGCCGCTGTCACCTTTGTTGTAGAGCTTGAGCCTCTGCTGTACAGACGTGATGGCTCCGAGCACGGACAGCCTGTTGACGCGCGACTTGATGTTGGAGGCTGTGCCAAATTCGTCTGCAAGCATCTTGGACACGCGCGAGATCTGGTCCTTGGGCGGGATGATCAGTGAGATCATGCTGGTGCCATTCCTAGGGATCACACAAAAAAACGAAGAATAACAACCATCACAGGCCACAAATTGGCAATTAAGATCAGCCATTTTATATGCGCTTGAAAACAAAGGTTTCAAACAATTGTGGTGTCAAAGCCTGCAGTCCTGATTAGCTGCACTCCATTTGTTATTTTATCACTCAATATTTTTTTTAGTTTTACTCCCTTGGGGGCGTTCTATCAATTGGCTGAGAGTCCATCACTGCTTTGTCATCAATCATCTGTTTCACCAAGGTGGTGTTCATGTGTGTCCAGCGGCAATTAAATGCAGTGCTTGAAAATGCACACATACATTCCACAAGAAAACTGTGACCTTGTTAAATTTTCTCCACCTAAACGTTGCACATATGGCCTGAAAACTAGCTGCACTGAAAAAATCCCAAGTTTGCAGACAGGAGCAGAATAAATGCAGAGTACTCTAATGCACCGCCTCCATGAAACCCCCACCATCCCTTACAACATGAACCATGGCAGTGTAAATTATTATATAGCATCTTAAACCATTACTTTCACACCATCTGTTTTTTAAGGCAACCTTGTAAACATTGGGTTGTTTGCGGACCAGCGAAAGCGCACGTCAATTTGTAGGATACACATTTGGTATGTTTAGCACGTTAAGACGTCACATGCATAATAATTCCTGAACATTTCTGTGCAAGTGCTGTGTTTTGTTCTGCACGGTCTTGGAAAATTACTATTTTCATCAGTATACAGGCAGGGCATAATTTCTCCAACGTCACCATCAACTGCACAGCAACCTACCAGCACAAACTGAGCATTATGTGCGACAGCCTCAAGGAAGGAGGGTTTTTTGTTGTGGGATTGTACTGGCACTGGGCTCGAGCCAGTAGTGCCCCAATACTTTGCCCTGTGTCCAAATTGGACTCGTGTCTCGAGCATTCCCGCTGCCTTGCAAATCCGCAAGATGCAATTCTGCCTCGTAGCGACCATTAAGCGTGTGCAGCGTTGTCTGCCACCCACTGTGTCTCATTTAGATATGGGCTAATGGCGAATACTTTGGGATGTAACGCTGACACATTTTTATTCATTTTAATTTGAGAGTTATTGTTCAGTGTGTTTCAGTTAATTGAGCATAGGACTAATAATACATTGTCATAATCTATTATACAACATTTCCACACAAGTACACATTTTAACTGAAAATGCAGTAGTTATACATTCCATTACCCGGGAATAACTACATTTCAAAACCCAAGCAGTGTTTGTAAAAACAAATAAACCATCATCTTAACTTGTCAATACAAAAAGTAAATTACCAAAGCAGATGTATTCATCAGATGCTTCACCTGAGATTGGCTGAAAACAAAAATAATGAATGCATCCACCTTGGTAGCCTATCACACACTCAGCACTGCATTGCTAATTAGCTGAGAAAAGATCCAGATGCAGCGAGATCCGGCTAGCTTTAAAAAAAAGCAGTCACACGGTTTTTGCCACACGACTGCTGTGTTGGGGCAAATGAAGACGAAAATTCACCTCACACGTGCACAAGAAAAATTATGTGTCCAGTTTAGGACAAGCAAATTAGGGCAGCGTATTTAAATCCCCCCCCGCCCCCCCCCCCCGCCAATTAAAAATGTTGGCGTCAGAAAACCATGTCAGTAGCTGCCTTCGTCAGCCTTTTCTCTCATGCCACTGCATACAAAGTGTATTTATATAGAGCATTATATAATTACGAAGACAAAAATAACCATGGCATTTGATAAGTTACTATTAAGACAATGTACATATTACAAAATCTACTATGCCCAGACTTAAGAAAAAGCTTTAAACGTAATTTCAACTAGTTGACTCATTCTAGACCAATGCTGCCTGTACGAATAGACCTGTAACATACCAGCTAATGCAGTGTGAAAACGGTGTGTGGTGTACATAAGACCATCACAGTATGCCACTCGACGAAAAAAGCTAGTTCAAAGCAATTGAAACTGCATTATATTTAAATATATATTCTTTAAAATCAAATACAGTACGCTGATTTAGTCAGAGTTTATTAAAAACAAACAGCAGGATGACCCTAGCAGCAATTGAAGCGAGAGGTGGCATTTCAGGATCAAATTAACGGGTCCCACCCACATTTATGAAACGGACCGCTGTAAATTCCCAGTTTTATGTAATAAGCAACCAAGTACCATATTTAATAGCGTCGTGCTGTACTTGGCAAACCCGGGAGAGCCACGGGTCAGTGTCACGACGCTCACTGCCGAAATCTACTGCAGTGTTGCTTATTGTGCAAACGTTATTCAAAAAGCGTACCAGGCAAATGTTTGTTTTAATACGCCAAACCAAAACTGCTGCGTGAACAAATTGTTACAAGCCTCGTTCGCAACTGAAATCTGTGGGTGTGGTCACGATACAAATCATGAACTAATTTTTACTTGCTTTGCCAATCAAGTAATAGAGAATGAAAAAAACATTTGCAATAAATGGGTGCCCAAGATGTACTCTGTACGAGTGCAGACTATACAGACACAAAAATAAGGTATAGCCATTTCCTGAAATGAAAGCCCAAAAATGCCTTATTCGGCAACATATGGCAAAATCGAACAGCCTAGACCGAGAGCACACGCACAGAAGGAAAATAGACATTTGAGCAGAGCCGAGGGAGGGGAGGATTGCTGCTGCATAGCAATGTTGGCACTGGCACAATGGCCCTTCATCGAGCAGTGGATAGATAGTGAACGACTTTTTAAAAAGCGGCCTTATTAGCATGTTAGTAGCATGGGGGTGGGTGGTAGCCGGAGGCAGGTTTTGTGCTGTTGCACAAGCCGTCCGTGTTTTCCTTGCGCCTGTGGGGGAATGATCCGCGCCACATATTCGGCGATGCTTGCTTCATTTTTAGTAAATAAGTTCAGAATTCATGCGTCGCGTTAATTCGACTACAGGCGCTGGGTGCCCCGGTACCGTTTCGACACGCGTACGGTGCCGTACAGCTCGGCTGCCCTTGTCAATAACTGCTGTTCGGAAAGCAGCCGAGATTGAGGGCGAGTCTCCATAATACTGTACGTAAAACACTTGGATTTATAAAGCGTGTGAACGTGATACATGGGGGGGGTTGACACGCACATCTGCAGAGCGCGAGAAGGGTTTCTATGATGTATTTTATAGGAGGGAAATAGGAGTGGAATTGGATGCTGTAATGAAAAAGTGCAAATTAATATGCAAGAGAGGTACACACTCAAAAGATAGACAACGCGTAGCTGCTTTACAACGCAGAAGGGTACGTGTTGTCCGAGTTATCAATTGGGTGTCCATCTGGAAAACACGACCTGATCGATATAAGGAATTTTTTGGGACATTAACTACGGTACACAAGAACACGTTCACAAGCCAAAATCCACGGCCTTGAAAGATGTCCCAGTTGAAAGCGACTTAAAACATTATATTAAAATTAAATACATTATCATTATGAATACAAACATTTGTATGGCCCTTTGACAACCACACCATGCTGAATTGAGGCTTCCCCACGCCGCTTCAATCGCGAGGGTTGTTTGACTATATTTTACTTTGATGGTCCAGAGCAGGGTATGGCAAGTACCAGGTTCTGGAATCGCCACTCACTACCGATGATAACCGTGGCAGCCTGGTTCAATATCGCAGTGCGCTACCTGAGAACTGACCACGAGAACATCGCATGTTTGTCGTTCTTTACCCAGAGTTGATGATATTGAGCCATGGTAATGGGACGAACAACGAACCCTCGTTCCCTAACAGAGCCCCAATAACACGCCTTGCATGAGCCAGGGCCGCAAAAACAGGTGCGCGGGGCCGTCGATTGACGCTTGCGATTAGTGTGTCAAGAACACATTCTGACAATTGCCCAAACGCATGAAGCTGCGTTGACAATCTATTTTAATCCACCGCAAGTCACACGGCACGCCTAATTGTCATCAACGGCTAGTTCATGGCAAACGTGGTAATACGAGTGGCGCAAAATCCTAAATTTGCATGTGCATTCTCAAAAGGTTAACGTCCCATTGGTCTCCGAGGGCTTGCAATTCATGAATCTCGTCGATTTCGGATGACCTTATCTGACGCACATAAAAGCCCGATAGCAAAAATGAACACTGAATATTGTAGAGGTATTTATATTAAAAAAAACAAGTCGAGTCTCGGCGACATTAAAAAAACACACGAGGCACTTAACACGAAAAGGTCAAACGGAGCCACCACAGAATTTCACCAGGGGTCGCGAGAACCCATGGGGACCAAGGCTCATGTCTGCTCGCCATCACTGACCATGGGAGCCCGTACACACCACAGCCATCCATATTGGGGTAGAGAGAGTAATCACCCTTGGCGTGGGCGGCAACTCACGGACATTTACCAGGACCGCGGCCCATTACACAACCTCGTGAGCACGAACAGCCTGGGGAAAGAGACGACGATCTCCACCACCCCCCCCCTTACCTCGGCACATACACAGTGTGACACGCGTACCAATGGCGAACGCCTATAAACAAGGACACCGCGCACATAGGTGACATGGCCAGTACCCCACTACGTAGGCCTGGCGACCTGTCTTCATCCAAAATGCCAACGTAGATTATACACCGCATCACGTACTCGTTTTAAGGCCACAACCGCACTGAGGGAGGGCCCAGGAGATGGTTCAAACACCACGTGCCGCCGACATCAGCCGTGGCCGGCCATCACACCGGCGTCGCCGGGTTCGTAGCGCAGTGCGCGAACCGCTGCGCCAGCGGGCCCCGCCACGGACACAGACCCGCGGGACGCAGCGCCGAGACGCGGCGAGACGACGACGGAACGGAAAAGGAAGCCCCTCGTTTTTCGGCTGCGTCACTCGCCCGCCTCGCCGCTGCCCTCCCCTCGGCCTCCGCGCCGCTTCCAGCTCAACCCGGGCTACCCCCCCCGCCCTCCCTTCCCCACTGCCGACGATGCCGCCATCACCGCCACCAGCGCGCGCCGCCTCACCCGCGCGCTGCCTCGAGGCTCTTGATGAGCTTCTTGATCTTCCAGATCTCCACGTTCCTGTCGGCCGCCGTCGGGTCGTCCGCCATGTTCGCTCCTAAAACAATGAAGGCGGAGGGAGTGGGAGGAGGGCAACGGCCAAGAGGGGAGACGGACGACGGCGGCGGCGGCTGAGACGGGGGCAGCTGTCCTGCGCGGAAGGCAAGACCCAGCGGACGCGGCTGAAGTTCGACGCGCTCGGCTAGGGGAGGGAGGAGGAGGGAGGGAGGGAGAGGCGGCGGCGGCGGCTGCGCTCACTCGCGGGGCCTCGCTCCGCGCGCTGCTGCGATTAGATGAACATGTGTTGCAACCTGGCGTGGCGCGCGACGAACGTCACGTCCGGGAGTGGCGTCACGTCCGGCGCGGCGGTGACGTCACTGCCGCCCTCCCTCCTCTCTACCCTCCCCCCTCACTACCCCCCCTCACTACCCCCCCTCTCTTCCCCCCCCCCTCTCTACCCCCCACTCACCCCCCCCCGACTCACCCCCCCACTCACACACCCCACTCACCCCCCTCTCTCCCCTTCACCCCGCCCACACCCCCCCCAACACCCCCCACACCCCCCCCACACCCCCCCAACTTCGCCGCCGTCTGTGGGGGAGCCCGCGGGGCGTCACTGCGGTGGGCGAGGCTCTGCGGCGTGACGTCATCGCACGAGGAGCGGTGGGCGTGAGGTTTGGGGGGGGGCGGTGATGTCACGTCCGTTACGTTTTAACTTTTTCGGATACAATTGGAAAGCGCTTCTGAAAATCATCACGAGCGTCGTTGCGGCGAATGTCATACAATAAGTAGAACTAACGTATCATAATTCTTACTATATTAGAACAAAAAAATGTTTGCTGCCTGGATTCCTGGCTGGCTGGCGCGCGGCTAAGTGCGTGTGCGCTGCGATGACGTCACCGCGTCCCACAACGTCGAGACGGGCTCGTGCGTGTTGACGTCACGCCGCTACCCAACCCACCAACCCACCGAGAAGCAGATTCTGTATTTATACTGCAGGAGGAATCCGATGAGCTATACAGCTCTAGATGTGAAGCTTTCGTGACTGCAAGGATCCATACTCTTTGGTTCTATTCGGTAAAGTCACGTAGGTAAAAAAAAATAATAATAATAATAATAATAAATAAAAACAATAATAAAACAAAAAATCACGACGTTTCGGCCACAACACAAGTGGCCTTCATCAGGTAAAGGAGGCGACCTGAGCTTGATTTTCTTCACTCCAACGCTATCCTCTGGACAGTTTGGTCCCTTCACCTGATGAAGGCCACTTGTGTTGTGGCCGAAACGTCGTGATTTTTTGTTGTTTTATTATTATTTACCTACGTGACTTTACCGAATAGAACCAAAGAGTATAGCTATACAGCTCTTTATCACAGATGTCCAGTACAACAAACAATACAAAACACGATCCAGTATACAGTAAATATTCTGTTTTTTTAGCGTGTGGCCCTCGGGAGCTGAAGATGTTGAATTACATTCCGAAGGTAACATTTAAATATAGTAGTAAAATGTTAGTTTAACACCTAGGCTTTCGCGACCAATATCCATAAGAGGTGTTTGGGTTAGATCGAGTAAATATATAAATGTGTCGTTAAACCCGCCACCACCCGACACGGCCAATTAGTAAGGTTTGTCACGTAAACAGAACATGCCAATTGCTTGAGTACATCAATACCGCTGTTGGAGAGTAAACCCACAGCATTGGAAATGTAACCCATAAACCTATATTATGGACCATATAAATGTTGTTATATGTGAATGAATCATACAAATATATTTTTCTACAATCATTTACGTTCTTGGTGCGTGTGGGGAGCGTTAGTGGAGTTCGATTCCCGGTCGTGGCCAATTATTTGAACCGGTCGTGGGTCTCCCCTCGGGCGGCTTGGCCTCAAACGTGTCCAGGCTTGTCTCGCTTAACGAGCAAGATAGGTTCCGCGAAAATTGCTCGGTAAGCGAACACTCGTTAAACGATCGTCGTTTTTACCATTAACTCCCATGTTAAGAGCCGAGCTACGTTTCAGACCCAACCTTTTAAAACTCTTGAACAACCTTTTGTGAACGTGTGAAACCCAAATAATATTTTTATATATATAAAAATAATAAAACATCAAATATAACACCACACATGAAGAACCAGTGCAAGATACCGGTATAGCCTTAACAAACTGTTAGGGCAAGTGCCGTTAGCGATCGCCTATGAAGTCCGCTATGGCACACGAGGGGATAGGTTGGCCAGCAACCACGCCCAGCCGCATGCCTCCTTCGTGGCGATGTTTACACACCGCACCACGCACTCATTCGAGTCCGAGTCGACCTAGGGGAGGCCCAGGGAGCAGTTCAGAAAATCGTCACCGGCGTTGGCCTTGAGCGGGGAGGAATCGAACTCCGGTGGCCGGGTTACGTCGCGACACGCGCTAACCGTTGCACCACCGCTCCCCTTCCGCCACCCACCCACGAGTGACGCCACAATGCCCCCCCCGATCCGTCGCATCACCGCTGGAACACAAACACCTGCGGGTCACCGTGCACCCAACCTGCGGCTACGAGACGCACATCTGTCGGGTCTCCGCTCGACAAGCGAACATTTTGCGAATGGGTCTAAATTCAAATTGCTCGTTTTAGCGAATTCTCGTAGAAAGAACAAGTTAAGTGAGACGCCTCTAGCTGGTGTGATGTATAATCGTTACTGGGGAGACAAAGGCGGCCGGGGCGTGGTGCTGGTCACCCGAACCCCTCGTAAGTGGGGTCCTGAGTAGAGGTTAGAATCGAATATAAACGGAGCGTTATCGGCATAGGTGCGATAGTTTTTTTTTGCCGTGACTATCGATGAGACGACCGATTTGGGGCGATTGACTGGAAAGAAAATAAGGAACCTAGGACGCATCCCCTGAGGGATGCCTGCAGCGGATGTAATGACTGGGATTGAGGATATTGGTCTATAAATTGCTGCACAATCACTTGGACAGAAATGCTGGTTTATCATTGAGATCTGCCATTGTCATGGGGCCAAGGAGGATGTTATATTCTTAGCTCTTTCGGTAAAGTCACGTTGAAGGGAAACAATAAAATATATATAAAACAATAAAAATTCTCACGACGTTTCGACCATAAAACAAACGGCCGTCATCAGGTGTGTCGGTTATTGTTTCCCTTCAACGTGACTTTACCGAAAGAGCTAAGAATATGAATTACTGCAGTCACGAAAGCTTTAAATCAAAATTTAAGGATGTTGTTGAAGGACTTCTGTGTATGGCCTGGTAAGTTACCAGGAAGGCCCTTAGAATTTACGTGTCTGCTGATGTTCTGTACATAAACTGGCTCTGTGCAAGTATTAAAAAGAAATACGGTCGACATTCGTGAGGGTTAGGTTCATGAAAATTTGCACAAATGTAAATACTCTATATCCTTAGCTCTTTCGGTAGTCACGTTGAAGGGAAACAATACAATAAATAAAAAACAATAAAAATTCTCACGTTTCGACCATAACACAAACGGTCGTCATCAGGTGTCGGTTTGCATTGATGACGACCGTTTGTGTTATGATCGAAACGTCGTGAGAATTTGTATAGTTTTATATATATTTTATTATTTCCCTTCAACGTGACTTTACCGAAAGAGCTAAGAATATGAATTACTGCAGTCACGAAAGCTTTAAATCAAAATGTGGGATACCATTAAAATGTTTCATAACATTAATCCTGTACTGTGCACAAATAACATCCGTACCGTTAAATTGTGCAATGCAGATAGCGCAATACAAAAAAATTGAATCAAATAAAACATTAAATGATACTGTAAATAAAGTTTTATTTTGCCGCAACAAAACGTAATGAACGTTAACGATGCGCCATTGAGGTGTCCAATATAGCACGTCATTGAGCAGCCAGTTAGATGCATCTGGTAACGTTTGTACATGTCGAGTTTGTATACATCACCGCGTGGATCTGGGCGTCCGTATGACACCTCAACGAGTGGACGACGGCTAAGATGCATACGGAAATGTGCAGTGTGTGAGCATATCGGAGTCGTGTTACAAAATGGCTTGGGAGCGCATACGGGGCCCCATAACCCTCCACTGTGCAAGTAACCCCTCCGTCACGATGCCATTTGCCAAATCGCGAATAGTAGAGGGAGGGGGGGGAAGCACATACACTTGACCTGGTATATACAAATAAAACTCTAGAATAACTGAATACCGCGAAAGAAAAATCCACGAATGAAGGGGTTTAAACTGTAATAATTTTATATCCAGTGTTAAGTTTAATTCTTTAATTGAACTTTTGTTTTACAAAATATTTTTTTTTACAATGTAGCCACTGCAACAGATAACACGTGACATTTGCTGGCAGAGTGAATACTGTAAAGTCTCAACCAAAAACAATGCAAAATTAAAGCCTTTCAGGCATATCAAGTGATGCTTTAGAATTTTTTTTATTCATCTATTGCTCGCAATGTAGAGTTATAAACACCCTTTTATAAGCTGCATGCTTTTAAAACAATCAAATAATTTACCTTTAAACTTTTTATGAATTGTTAAATTTAGAATTTTCATGCACAAGCCACAGCAAAATTAAACTGCTCTTCTGATTTGTAATTATTTTAAATCACCATGCCAGGTGCAAGGGTTTGCACACATTTCATACGCACTGAAATTGACATTCACCCTCACTGTAAAAATGGTTTGAGCTTTAACATGGCAATGCTTTGCTCATCTCCCACAATAAAGGATTTTGAAAGCACATTCTCCACCAGATAGATACACCCACTTCCTGAATACACTCAGGAATTGTTAAGGTATGTTGCATTAAAAACAGTAAAGGATTGTTTTTTAACTGTTTACCTCTGAAGATAGTACTGTACACACAAAACATTCCACATTACAAATACTCAGACTGCAGGAAAAAGTTTGCTGCCAACATTTGTAAGGCCATGCCCAATAAATCAATGCATTTGTCAGTTTGGAATTTGAACAAAAAAGAGCAGACCAGAATACAAAAGTTAAATTGACCTCAATGTGGACACATACCAAATAAAAGTGACTTCCCTCTGCCCAAACCAGATGGACAGCATTTTTATGTATTCAATGGGCCATCTTTGTAAGTTGTGTGCAAGATTATTAAACACAAACCAGTGTGTATGTACGCTTAATGACAACTTTACCATGCAATTTTAGATAGTGAAAGCAGTCAAATTATTGATCACGTCCAAGGTAATTCATCACTAAATTTGCTGGCCGCTGGGAACAATGCAAATTTAATAAGGGATGCTAAATACTATCACACTTGTTAAATTTATGTTTTCTGAACCTTCTATTGTATGAAACTAACTTAAGGTTCTAAATGCTTTCCCATAAGGTATAC